AGGTTGTTTCACACTGCATCAGGGCCATCTTTTGAGAAGATGCTATTTATACTATTATTGAGCCAGAGGGGAAAGTTAGTACAAGTTATTAGCAAGGCCTCCCACAAATATTTTTACATCTTCTATCTTCTCTGTTCCTCCTTCCCTTTTGCTTGGACCTGGGCTCACATTGGTACCCATTCCCTGTCATCTGAGTTCTCTTAGGTGTCACTCATCATGGAGATATACCTAACAAAATAAACTATTTTGGCCTGTCTGCCTCTTTCTGCTTAGTTTTCTATAAAAATTCTAGGTATAGAGTGGACTTATTTTAACATGTGTTGTATTCATTGGTGTGTGGGGCCGGGGCTGTGATATCTAGAATAGTAGTGACAATGTAATGCAATGAGGTGACTATTTTGTTCATTACAAGGGATAGAATTTCTTGATCCTATTAATATATATGATCACAGTTAACTTGAATTTTCCAATAGCATTTTCTTTGCAAATAGAATAGATTTTTATTAGTAATTAGTTACCTTCCCCTGTAATGAAAATGATCAGAATAAAATTTACTTTAAGTCATATTGAAATAATACTCTTCTGCTGTTGAAATTCATTTGGTTAAACCTTAATATATCTCTGCTGTTTTTGAGATGATGGTACTATTGTACATTGCTAGATTTTTAGCCAGCCTGGATAGTGAAAGAGCATGTCTTTTCTGATAAATACTATCTGAGAACCTCATGGATTTGTAACAGCACACGTGGAGATTTATGGCTTTAATTGGCCAAGTGAGCATTGTTTCAGCCTGTGATTTGTGGTCTAGTGAACAGCCACTGAGCATGTCCCTTCCAATTGATTGACCTTCTGCTCAGCCTATTTTGGGCCTTACTAAGAGCATCTTAAACTGAAGGAAAACTCTACCAGTATTAACGTATTATAATTTGGGAAATAATCCTGTTGAGAAAATGTCCTGTGGTAATTTCAAAAGTTCATCTTACTTAAAGATCTGATTTTATAATTATATTTTGAGTCCCACTTACATGAATGAAAGACTTAAACTGCTGCAAAGAAATAATTTGTCACACAAATTTCCAAATATGTAAGTACAGAAACAGAAAATTGTAGCATGCTTTGGGTACATAAGTCTTGTTCCAAATCACGGTTTCTTTGTTTGCATAAAGAGTTGATATTGGGGTTATAGTGTGTTTTAGGAATAGAAAATCCACTGAGTGAAGACAATTAGTAGAGAAATATTTTTAATTATTTCCTGTAGGAGGTGGAGGGGTGTCCCAGGAGTGGAGGACAGAGACATCCCAAATGCTGAAGGGTCTTTATGCTAAACAATTCATGTTAAACAGAACATAAGACAAAGCAAAACTCTTATCCTCACAGAATACTTAATACTTTAAAACTTACTCCTATTTTAATTGTGAAAATAGTGTATATTCTTGGTAAAATAAAAATTTGAATTGTATAGAAGCTTATAAGTAAAAAATACCTGTCCTTCTGCTACCTAGAGATAGCCATTACTAAGTTTTATTTATATTCCTAGAAATGTTTGTGTATAGTGTACACATATTTTTCTCTAAAAATGGAGCATAATATTGTGAGGCATTTTCCTCTTGACAATATGTTTGGTCATTTTTAATATCATAGATAATTCTACTTCATTCTTTGTTACTGCTACATAGAAATTTATTCAACCATTCCCGTCTCCATATATTTGTTTCCTTTTTAAAATCATTTGTTAATTCAAATAGTACTATAGTAAAAAGTATTTGTGATCATATATCTGTACAAGTGTGAATATGTAATTATAGACTAAACTCCTGAAAGTAAATTTGCAGGGCCAAAGGTTATATGCACTTTAAATATGAGCAGTTACTACCAATATTTACTTCCAAAGTAGTCGCTCCAATTTTTAGTCTCAGGAAGAAGGACTTTGAATGCCTTAACTGGAGACTCTGGTGCAGTAGTGTCATTATCATCATAGCTAACATTTACTGAGCATGTTCTGTGTATAGAATTCCAAGTGCTTTATGTTTATTAACTTTTTAAATCCTCACAAAGACCCTATGAAGTAGACACCCATTTTGCAGATAAGGAACCTAAAACTGAGTCACAAGGAGTTTACTTAACTTGCCGGCTCAAAAGTCACATAGCTAGTAAGTGGCTAAGGATTCAAATGCTTGTCTATTGACGATTAGACAAGTGGAACACAGACAGTTTGGAGATGACAGAGATGATGGTGAATCTGGGATATAGCTGTGAATATTTCCCTCAGGAAGAGTGAAAACTAAGAAATGATACAAAATTTATTCTTATGGGCAAAGCAATATTGAGAAAAATAAATGTACGTTTGTGCAATTTAAACGGGATAGTAGAGGATCTCTTGGAATTTTTTACCAGCTACTGATCAGAGATCCAGAATGAAAATGTGCCACTTGGAAATGAAGCGAGATTAGAAAGACTGTATTTCTTTATTTTGTAAATGAGTTGGATAATTTTTTTTTTTAAAAAAATCAATGTTCTTGAAGGTCCTCTGTGCTATACAAGTTCCCTTTTCTAGCAAAGGGCCCTCCCTGCCTCCAGAATTTGGGATAATGGGAGCAAAGTAGACAACCTAGAAAAGAGGTTAAAACAGTAGTCAGTGCAGGTGAAGTATCAAAGGTGAACTGCCTCCACCAGGAAATCTTGTCCATGAATATTCCCTTATAAATGTCCATCAACCTCTGAAGGAAACAGGAAGAGTTGGATTAGAGAAATAATAAAATAATTAATATTCAGATTTCCCCACTCTCCCTGCCAGAGAACAACTGCATTCATCTCTTTCTGACCTATGTCTCCACACATCTACAGACACTTAAAAAGCCATGCAGAGTAGGAGGGAGTTTTGGCTCACAGATGGGAGTTTCACTTGGCTACCGCAGCACACATCTGTATGGAAGGACCAGGGTTGCACAGGGGAAACGAGATGTAGTGCCAAAATAAAGAACTCTGAGGATCGCCCCCAGTAACAGAGGGATAACAATTAGTACATTGACAAAAAACTTTCATATGCTTCAGCTCCTTTGATTTTTCTCAGCACTGAGGCATGTGAAATAAAAATGAAACTTTCTTCCCCTTATTTTGACTACAGTATCTAGGTATACTGTTAATCTGTTTGTATTATTAAAACATTTCCAAAGTGTAAAGATTTCTCTCTATATACTAAACTTCAGTTTCTAAAATGGTCTCTGTTCTGTAACCATGAATATTAAGCTCACAGCAGATAGGCTCCCGTGGCACCACAGACATGCGACTTGATTTTGTGTTTAGTTTTGGAAATTTTCCCTAGTTCAGGGGAATGGAAAGATCTGGCACCTTCTATTTTATTATAGGTTCAAATACCATTGACTATCACTGCGAGTTTTGGCTTGTTAAATACATTGGTAAGTGTGGGGTTTTGCTAATTTTAATACTCCTTTTTTTAAGAGGAAATAAGGATTCAGCATTTATACTGCCACTATAGCTATTTTAGTAACATGTTAAATTATAATCAAAGGCTGTTCCTAAAATGTCATCAGATTTCCTCAACTTTTGAAAACCATGAAAGTGTAATCCAGTCCAACTTCAAAGCCACTGCCGTAGCCTTTGTCCCCACGATCTGGCTTGTTGAGTCTCCAGATGAAGTTCACACAACTGCCTGGGTTCAGATATCAGTTACTGCCAGCTTTTAAGGGACTGTAAGTAACAGTTACTTTGCTCCCTTGTTGTGCCCCCCTAATTTCAAAAAAATGCTTTTGACATTACATTTCTTTTTATCCCACCTGTGTAGTCCTATCTGGAAAGATTTGCATAGAGAGTTTTTGTTGAGGTACAATAGAGGCCTGAAATTAAAAGCCCCACCTTGAAACCACTCTCCCAAGGATTGGGATTTGGACACCAATATTTAGAGCTTTACTAACTGAGATGTGAAAACAGAGCGGGCAGTAAACTGCTTTGTTAGCAGCAGCAGCTACATGTACAAGGCGTAGCATCTTCCCCACGGGGACAGGGATGCTGATGGTACTGAGATGCTCTCTGACAGTGAAGCTAGAGCATAGCTGACATTTTCCCTTTCAGGTCTATTTGATCACACAGATGACTCACAGTCACATAGGTGTGCAAAAATGCATAGGAATCGCTGGCCACATGCCATCTTCTGATGGGCTCGATGCTCCAGTGGAGCAAAGGCCACAGCCGACAGATTTTTTTTTTTTTTTTTTAGGTTTGGGTTCAGGCCAGCACAGATCTCCCATCCACAGAAGTCCAGAGGACCTAGGGGCTGGCTCCAGGTCACCTTGGTCTGTGAGGTGTAAGACTGGCTAGGGTGATTTAGGAGTGGGTTCCCAAATTCCCCCAGTTTCTGTTGTTTTTTACTCAGAGGTGCTACATTTTCTGTCAAACTCTTGAGCTGTCATAGCATTGAGGATGTGTGTCCATTTGACTGTCTTCCAGTTAATGTCATGCTTTATTCTACCTCTTCATCTGAGGCAGTACCTGGTTTGGGCCACATCAGATGAAACCCTTCTTCAAAATTTTTACTGTTTCCTGGAGTCTGAATAAACTGAAAAAGTCCAGTTAACAACTGGCTGAATCACATGGTTATTCTAAGGCCGGTATGTTGTCTAGCAGTACTTCTGCCAGTGTGACACAGGACCCAGAGATCATTTGTCCTCAGTGCCCTTCCCAGTATCATTGCGCCCCTGGGGAAGACAGCTTCACAACACAATGTGTCTGAGTTCCCATTTAAATTCTCCTCCATCACCTAACTGAGATTTCAGTGCTCTCTGTGGAAACAGGACTGGGAAGACCACCCTGGTCAAGTGGACTGTCTGATGATTTAAAGCTAACCTTTAAAAATAAATATCTCCTATCCCAGTGTCATCTAATGGCTTGTGTGGGCCATTGTCTAGGTGCTCTGCAAGTCAGATGTGCTTCTGGCTGCTGTGCATACATCTGGTACTATGTCACTTTTTTTTCTTCCTTTTTAGGACCAGGAAGAAAACAAGGGAGCTACAAGCTGGCCTGAATTCTACATCGATCAGCTCAATTCCATGGCTGCTGTAGGTATACTTTATGTTCTATGGCACACAGTTTAAAATGCAAGTCTAGTACCAAATTAGTACACAGTTGCACAATAAATTCGATTGAGACCTACCAAATGTCATTACCTTTCCAAACTCCATCATAAACACTCAGTGTTGAGGAAAGAAAGAGGACAGGAGTGGTACTTGGCAAAATGACTTTTCCAGTATGTTTTAAATAAAATCAGCACACACTAAAATATAATTGAGCTTAATGTTATAAGAGGAAACATAATCTGAAATCTGGCTAGTGTTCAACTTTAATGTGCAATTGCTCTTACTGATCATTTGGAGCTTTGTTATGGCAGCACTATTTTAAAAGTTAAACCATTTAAAAATAGTATGATCAAACTGTTTCTTCATTGTACTCCTCTCATTTTCTTTCATATTGGGAACTTGTTATTTCCTGGCTTTTTGCCTTTACAGGGGACCAGGATACTCTTTTATAATACATAAGGAATTTATGGAGTAAGTGGTTTAATGAAAAGACATAATAATGGCACTGAGATGCCCTTGGAAAATCTTTGATACATGGATTTTTGGTTCAGTAATTGTTTAAAATGTATTCTCAATGTCTAGGATATGAATTTTGATCACAGGGGTGTCTCTATGATGTCAACATTCTGAGCAGCTTGAGGGGCACCCATTGCTCATGGCTAAAATTCACAGCAGAACAGGATTTCAGCCCTTAGTAGCTTAAATCCTGTCACTGTTGATAAAAATTAGAGGTTGCCCACAGTAGAACACAGTCTTTGCCTCAGGGGCACACATAATGTTAAGAGTCAATCCATATATTCAGCTTTGAGTTTAGCATCCAAGTAGATGGTAGCTTCCATAATACTTTTCTCCACCTCTTTCCCACCTTCTCCAGAGTCCTTATGGAGAATTAATTTCTTATCACTTAAAGCAAACATTTCAAATTGTCTAATATTCTGCTGCTACAGCAAAAGTTAAAAGCTGAATATATGAATTATTCATGCATTTGCTAAACTTTCAGAGGTCTTGACTTTTAGTAACTTCCTCTTTTTTTTTAGCTTTTTCTTTGAAGATGTTTCTTTTGCTGTCATACAGTGAATAATAAACAACCTGGTAAATGTGAACAGGGCTGTATAAATAATAATTGTATAAGTTTTTGCCCCAAGGGTTTCTAGTCTAAACACATAGCAGAAAAGGACAGAAAATAACAACCATATCGTTCTTATTCAAGGCATCCTACACAATGCCAAAAAATGAGCAAAGGGTGACCTCAGCATTCGTATGAATATGCTAACAGAATGTGAGATTTCTAATAACCACAGGGATTTTCTGTGCATCCACCTAAACAATAATAATTTGGATCCATTTACATTTCCTGCATGTAATGGCTATTTTCTGAATTCTTGCTCCTGGCTGTTTGGGGAAAAAAGAAATATCTCTCCAAGTCAGTGTTGTTTGATGTCTAACAAGAGAAGTTGCTTCTTTGTTAATTCCCTTCTATAAATGGAGAATTACTAAGTACTATGGTTTTTCATTTTTTCAAATATTGAGACAGTTAAATTAATATGTCCTTTAGTGACTTAATCCCTGCCTTGTCTGGAGTAGACCTGGCTCATTCCTGTGCTACAGGGTGTGTGATGTGCCTAAATGTGGCCCTTCTTCAAGAGTCTCCTTTTTCTTCCGTCCAGATCCTTGGACTAGTCTTTGCCACATACTTGAGTCTCTGCATTTTAATTACTGCACATTTGGTTCCTAATCCAAAATTCTTCCCAGGAGAATCACAAGGCTGTTAAGTTGTCAGTGACTTTGCTATCTTTTATGTGTCAGACGCCTAACAGCTTTCTAGTGCTCCTTTTAGGACTGAGCCAGCATCTTCCCAGGGTCAAAGGTAAAAGGCACTAACAGCCCATGAATTAATGAGGCTTCAAAACTTCTGCTTCCTTAAAAGAACAAGGAGACCTGATGAGACCAGAAACCCTATGCTGGGATATCTGTTTTTCTCACCATATTGTTGCTACCACCTCCTTGCATAGTTCTGCCTAATCCCTGATATCTATACTGGAGAATTCCTGACAACGCACAGCAGAAATCCTTAAAACATTGTCCCTGGGGCAGTGGAAAGACACACAGTTCCTCCAAATCCTTTTGTGGCCTGGCAGATAGACTCTTTGGCTCTCTCTTTAGGCAGTTGTTGAAGGGGCATTTGTCCACATTGTCATCATCCATTGTCTGCAGCATCAACAGTGACTACTGCTATTGAGTGTGCCTCACGTGACAGGCGGCACTTTACATGTTTTAAATCCTACTGGCACCCTATGCTGTAAGTGCTATTTATAGATAAGGTCTTTGACATTTAAGAAAGGTTACCTTGCCCAAGGTCATCTAATTAGGAAGTGGTCAACTAATTAGGAATTTAGACCTATCAGTCTCAGCCCAAAGACTCCTTTCCAATTTGCCTCTTACTAGCTTGATTTTTAAAACCCTGTGGCATGTGAAAGAGGCTGGGTAATCCCACCTCCCTGCCCCCGGGGGTGGGGGCCAGGCATCTGTTTTCTTTAATGCCTCCAGAGTCTGATAAACAGTCCAGGTCGAGAACTGAAGCACTTACTCATCTGTGAAGCCAGCCTTTTGTAGAACAAGTTCAGTTACTTTGGGTAAAGCCTCATTACAAGAAAGCTTTGTTCTTTAAAGGACTCCTGAGTGATCTGTGGCTTTTAAAGAGTGAAAAATAGTATAATAAAGGAGTGCAGCCTAACAGGTTCTAGAAGGACTGGGCTGTCTTGGTATGTAGCGTCTCCATGCTTTCCCAAGGAAGAGGGATGTAAGGTGAGGTTCAGTGTACTTAGTGAGCTGGCGTATTGATTTTACACCAAGGAAATGTTTCAAATGGGAACTTAGTTACAGACTCCTGGCCGGGAATGCTTTCTGTGCCATGTTCATGCACCTCTCTCAGCCCTGCTCATTCCAATGTGAACCTCAGAGGCTTTGAAAAGAAGACCCTCTGTAAGGATGTACTTTGTCCTTTGCACACTGCTCATGTGAAGTGCATAGAGGGAATGCTTTCTGTGCCATGTTCATGCACCTCTCTCAGCCCTGCTCATTCCAATGTGAACCTCAGAGGCTTTGACAAGAAGACCCTCTGTAAGGATGTACTTTGTCCTTTGCACACTGCTCATGTGAAGTGCATAGAGCAGGGGTCCTCATACTTTTTAAACGGGACCAGTTCACTGTCCCTCAGACCATTGGAGAGTGCACACTGTGGGCCTGGGACAAGTTGGCTGCTAAGCAGGACAGGCAGCTGCGGCAAAAACACCCAGAGGGCAGGATAAATGTGCTAGGTGGCCCTTGGGGCCATAGTTTGAGGACGCCTGGTATAGAACATTCAAAAAGGCCTCTACGAGGCCTGTCCTGTATATGACTAGGTGCATAGCAGTCATCTTCAGAAATGTAGGCATATCTCCCCTATCTACTAAATGTTACAAATTAAACTTGTTTCCTAAAAGTAAAGCTTGAAAACTTGAAATTTATGTCAATTATTTTGTTTTAAAAAGTCACCTTAGACTATCAGGTTTATCTACATATCTTCAGTTTTATTAACACAACAAATTCAGTCTTAGACTCAATTATAATTGTATCACATACAGAAAAGGTCATAGTCTTCTCTGTTCTGAGAGAAAGGTAATGTTCCTTATGCAGTGTTGGGAAAGAAAGTTCAAATTTAATTTTCTTTTGACATTTCATAAATCTCCCAACTCCACTAGGGAGTAACTTAATGTAGTCTGCTGTTATTCAAATGTTCCACTCTCCCTGAGATTGCTAAAAGGATAAATACATGAATCTCTGGTGTTAGTGACCCACAATCAAATGTGTATTTTTTAATTTGGGAATAGTTTTATGTCATTAAGCTTGGGGACAAGAAATAATATTCATAAAAGGCTTGATTCTGAGCTGCAGATTCAAAGTCATTGCCTAAGAGTCCAAACAAATTCAGCTGTGCCATTGGAGATTAAATGCGCTTGGCTGGATTTGTGCTGAATTTTCCAGGGGATGGGTCTCATGGAGCTTTGAAGGAATTTATTGGCTATTTCTGCATGCAGCTTGCTTCCCTACCATCCTCTGGCGACAGCTGTCCAGGCGCATCATCAGCAAGAGGACAGCTTTAGCAGAAGCAATACAATAACAAGTTAAAAAAACCCACAAAACTCCACTGGTTTTTATTTTCACTTGCCATAAATGATACTGATGTTTTCATTTGCTTTGGGCTTTACCCTTCTCATTATGAAGATACAAGTTTTAGTTAACATTTTAGTTCTTTTACTTAATGCTGGTACTATTGATTTAAAAAAAATAAAGTCACCCTTAATGATTTGTGGTCCTGAAAGAAAGGGAAAGGCTGGATCATTGAGACCCATGGATAAGAGCCAAGCTTTTCTTTTTCAATACAGTCACCCCAGTCTGTTTCCCAGCCAAGCATTTCATCTGAATTGGTAGCAGGTGAAAAAATTGAGACTAGACAAGCACGTGTTCAGAACAGGATGAAATGAAGTGAGGGGACCAGTAGCTCTAAGACTGGAAACACTTCAGTACAAGTAGGTGATCATGGAGTGAAAGGGAATGGAAAAGACTATAAACCTTGCTAGCATCCAGAACTTTATAATATCAAGTCAGATCTTCTTACTTAGAGCCTGGCTCCTGCAGCATCAGCATCGCCTGGAAATTTGTCAGGAATGTAACATCTCAGGCCTCACCCCAGACATACTGAACCAGAGTCCAAGTTTTAACAAGATCCCCAGTGACTTTCATGTCCACATTAAAATTTGAGCAGAACTGCTCTAGCTGATCCCTGAGTAGGAAGAAAACACACACACACACACACACACACACACACTCTCACACTCACACTCCACGTTCTAATTTCTAAAGGACATTGGTTCATTTCTAGAAGTTAAGCATTTACTCTGAAGGAATTGTCCACCTTAGTATCAGGTCAAATTTAATTGTTCCTCTTAAAAAATAATTTGATGTAACAAATTCCCCGTGGTCTTGGTTACACTTTTCAGCTGAGGAATAGGAGCAGTAGTGTGGGAAGTTTGCTGCCCCCCTCCTCTGCTTGATATGTTATTAAATTTAATTGCCAGAATGTTGTATTCAACTACAGGTCCAATCTTCTTTCTATCAAATATAAATAGTAATGTCTACATTAGAGTGTACTTATAAAAACATTTGAGCAACTTAATCTCTACTAAGATTTCTAAACCATTCCTTAAAGCTTTAGTTAAAATTTGAAGGACTTATACTAGAAATAACAAATTTGTGGGATTCTTGGTGGTATTACTCTACATTTTGACTTGTAGTAAATCTTAATCTTAGATTTATTGATTATTTATATTTCAGGTGAAGTATCAAATCTGTAGGATTGTTTTCTTTATACTATAACTAAAGCATAGAATTTGGAAAATTAACTTCTGTTTTCTTTGCATAGAGAAAATCTCTGCTGGCTTTAGAGAAGGAAGAAGAAGAAGAGAGAAGTAAAACTATAGAGAGTTTGAAGACAGCACTAAGGACAAAACCAATGAGGTAATTTTTCCCTGGGTAGCATGTTCCTGTCTCCTCTCCTTCCTCCCTCATTTTTCTGTAGTAGTCAAACCTTACAGGAAGTCGTAAGTTAAAAGCATGCAGTTGAACTATGAATAAAATACTTTAATCATTGAACATGTAATAAAGTGATTTTCTTCAATTAAAAGGTATGCCGACAGCCAGTAGGATAGTTAAAATTAAAATGAGGCTCTAACAACGATGGCAAAAATGTAGAAAAATTAGGCCCCCTATTCATTGCTGGTGGGTATGTACAGTGGTGCAGCTACTTTGGAAAATAGTTGGGCAGTTTTTCAGAATGTTAAATATAGTGTTGCCATATGACTCAATAATTCCATTCCTACATACATAGCCAAGGGAAATGAAGATATGTCCCTCCAAAAACTTGTACACAGATGTTCATATCAGCATTATTCATAATAGCCAAGAAGTAGAAGGAATACATATGTGTATCAACTGATGAATAAATAAATAAAATGTGATACATCTATGCAGTGGAATATTATTTGGCTACAAAAAGGAATGAAGTACTGATACATGCTACATGCATGGAATAACCTTAAAGATATTGTGCTAAGTGAAAGAAGCCAGTCACAAAAGACAACATATTATATGATTTCATGTATATGAAATGTCTGGAATAGGCCAATCCATAGGGACGGAAAGTAGATTAGTGGCAGCCAAGAGTTGAGGAGAGGGGGAAATGGTCTTTTTGGGGTGATTAAAGTGTTTTAAAATTAGGTAATGTTTATGATTTCACAACTCTGAACATACTAAAAACCACTGAATTGTACACTTCAAAATGGTGACTTTTATGGCATGGGAATTATCTCTCAAAACAATGATTATTAACAAGAAAATGAGCGTTCTGGCAATAGTGATTCATTTCATCTCTGGTGATCAGCTTCCACTGTGTGCCTGCTGCACCTTCATTTTCCATTAGTGCCTCTAGGATTTGGGAAGGTGTTGAGTTCTTACTGGTACACTTCAATAGCACAGGTGCTACGAGTGAAGCCAACTGGATTAATTAGCATAACTACATCTGAGTCACGTGATTGGATGAAGTGGCTAGAAAATAAAGTTTCCCTTTCTTTATTTGACTATAAAATACAAACTAAAAATAATCTACTGATTCATCAGAAATACTATACAGTTGTATGAGGGAGATCTAGACTGTCCCAACCAAATCAGTGTTCCTTCCAAACTTTTCAGGGGCTTCAATGTGCACGAATGCATTGTGAATTATTCTCATTGGTTGGCTTTATATACCTAAGTGTTATAACTATTAATAAAATTAATGCACAGTAATAAAGTATTACTTTTTTATATTTTTTTATTAGGATCCCACCCCATTTAGCAGAGCATACAGAAGGGTTTTGGTATAAAACCTTAAGGATATAGATTATCATTTGTTCAACAAGCAAATATCCTAGAATTTAAGGACATCCTTTGACTTTTCTTGATAGTTAACTGGTTTGGGTCAGTGGTCAGCACATAAAAGTGCATGGGATCGAGATGCTACAGTAACACCGGATCAGCAGATGATTTTAACCTAAGACAAGATATGCATTCTGAGTGTTCTTTGCTCCTGATTTTTAATGGATATATGATTTGTTAACGGGTTCTTTGTACCAGTTGAGATGCATTTACCTCAAATGGAGGTTTTTTTCATACTTCTGGTTAGATTTGACTATTGTGTCTGTGCCAAGGAAGAGGCAAATAATTAAGAAGACTTCATCAATTTAAGCCTTTGGGTATTTCAGGAACTAAATCTTTTTGCTTCTCCCTGCTCCCCAGACTTTTCTATTAAGGGCTATTACAAAACCTCAAAGGGACTTAAGTCTGATGCACTTCTCTTCATGACAGGTTTGTAACCAGATTCATCGACTTGGATGGCCTGTCATGTATTCTCAACTTTCTAAAGACCATGGACTACGAGACCTCAGAGTCTCGAATACATACCTCTCTCATTGGATGTATAAAGGCGCTAATGAACAACTCTCAAGGTCGGGCTCACGTCCTGGCTCATTCTGAGAGTATTAATGTAATTGCTCAGAGTCTGAGCACAGAGAACATTAAGACAAAGGTGGCCGTGCTGGAAATCTTGGGCGCCGTGTGCCTGGTTCCTGGGGGCCACAAGAAGGTTCTGCAGGCCATGCTGCACTACCAGAAGTACGCCAGTGAAAGAACCCGCTTCCAGGTGGGTGCTCCCTTGGCATGTTTTCATTCACCCCTTCTTTAATTCTGCTTAAACAGGTGCTTTTTCTGGCTCTACTTTCTACAGTTGATCAATCTGGGGTTTTAGATTTACAGAACTTGAAAATGTGGTCCTGCATCCTATATGTTATATAGCACACATCTTTTGAATCCACCCAATGGCCCGTTCCCTGAAAATTTTATAGGTTGCCATCCTTGATTTAGGGTCATTATGAATAATGAGAATATATAATTGTATTTTTACTCAAATATAAAAATCAAGCAGAAGTAATGAAGCAAAAGTCTTTTGTACTTTGTATATATGTATATATGAACATATATGATGTAAGGATTTTAAAAGTAGAATTTTTAGGACTACTCTTAAGGGGAAAAAAATGATGGCTTTCTATGGAGCAGTGTAATTCTGACTAAACAGCAGAGTTTAAAAGTTAACTTCTGGCTGGGCACAGAGGCTCATATCTGTAATCCCAGTACTTTGGGAGGCTGAGGTGGGAGAATCATTTGAGGCCTGGAGTTCGAGACCAGTCAGGGTGAATATAGCAAGACCTTATCTCTATAAAAACATAAAAAATATATTAGCTGGGCACAATGGCACATGCCTATAGTACTAACTACTTGCGACGCTGAAGTAGGAGGATCACTTGAGCCCAGAAGTTCAAGGTTGTAGTGAGCTCTGATCACACCACTGCCCTCCAGCCTGAGCGAGACCCTATCTCTAAAAAAATAAATAAGATAGAAGTTAACTTCTGAGTATAAAACATTTCACAAAATGAGGATAAAGGTAGTAATGATTCAGTCCTTTGCTTTTATATTTGTATCCTTGACAGACATTAATTAATGACTTGGATAAAAGCACTGGGCGGTATCGAGATGAAGTGAGCCTGAAGACAGCCATCATGTCCTTCATCAACGCAGTGCTAAGCCAAGGTGCAGGCGTGGTAAGGACCCTCTGTACTATGATTTTAAAAATATATCCTTAAAGACAAATTTTTAAAACATGATTACTATGTAATCAAAACCATAAATATGTATTTCATTACACTTTGACTTTTAGGAGAGTTTGGACTTCAGACTTCATCTTCGCTATGAATTTCTGATGTTAGGAATTCAACCTGTGATAGATAAATTAAGGGAACATGAAAATTCAACATTAGATAGGTAAGTCAGACTGTTCTGATCTGAGATGGTTTATGCTTTCTCCATATGTGTAGTACAGCACCTTATCCAGTGCCAGCCTGTGGACTGCTTGTGCCCTGTCTGCAACATGAGGAGCTGGCACCAGAATGTTAGTTCAGCTAATGCTGTTTTTATAATAGTAGTAAGACTTTGTCAGTGAAAGAAACAGCACGTGTGGCAAGAACTTAGTGTGGGTTTTGGTATTCGACCTGAATCTGCATACTGTCCTCGTTCTGCCTCTTACCTCTATTTATCCTGGTCAAGCTCTTCAGTTTTTCTGAACTTTACTATTTTTATACTTGTAAAAAATGGTGTGGTGGTGGTGGTGGTGGTGGTGATGACGATAATGATGACTGTCTTCCAGATCTCTTGTGAAAATTGATTATACAGCCTGTGGAATCACTTAGCACCTGTGATGGGCACGCTGCAAATGTTAATGACCACTGCCTGTGAATTTGCTCATTTGTAATCCTTTTACTATCTCTAAGATGTCCCTACCAGCTTTCACATCTTTCATTCTCCCACTCCTCTCCTTTCACGCACTGCCACATGCTCTTCTCCTTAACACTCTGTGAACATGCCAGAAATTCTCTTGTAGCAGAGCCTTTGCACTCGCCATTTCCTCAGCTTCAACAGATCTTTCACCAGTGTCCAAGTTGCTTCTTCCCTTGTTCCCTGCAAAGACGTCTTTCCCAACCACTGTGTGGGTGTTGTTCGCCTCACCTCGCATCATTTTCTATTTCCTTTACCTTGTTGTATTTGTCTTCATAGAATGTGTCCTCAGTGTGTGGAGCCCATAATGGGGGCTTAATAATTATTTGAATAAATGAACGAATGGCATGAACATTTCTTTCATGATCTTTAATTCAGTGGCAAGTCACGTGTAGCTATATGGGCTTGTTTTTCCATAAAGGAAGTCTTTGAGTAGAATCTGGACTTGATTCTTTTTAGATTTGTTACATATTAATTTAATAATTAATTGCCTACCATGCATTAGGCACCTTGGGCTTTTCAATGTTTCCCTTATTATGATCTTATTTCATTCAGGTGATATCTTTTTTCCTTAGAACATAGTTAAGCTAAGGCATTCCAATTTTGTTACCTGGTTTTTTTCAGAGATATCTCTGAAAAGTCAGGAAAGTCTTTAGTATTAATGTCCCGAATCCTATGCACCTGTGTTGGTAGGATGTTCTACTTAATAACTTTTCTTTAATTATCTTTCAGGCATTTAGACTTTTTTGAAATGCTCCGGAATGAAGATGAACTAGAATTTGCCAAAAGATTTGAACTGGTATGTATGCTTACAATTATTCTGATTTGACCCCTCAACTCACAGAATCTTCCCCTTATAATGTGTTTGTAAAGTTGACATAGACCAGCGTGACCTATAAGCGAAATCAAAGTTCTATTTGGTTACCTAAGTGGCAGGATTATTTTCTGTTTGCCTTAAATGTACTTACCTTGCACTGGGGCAATTGAGGGACTTAGATTTTTTTCCTATCAAATAGGTTCACATAGACACCAAAAGCGCAACTCAGATGTTTGAGCTGACGAGGAAGCGGCTGACGCACAGCGAAGCGTACCCTCACTTCATGTCCATCCTGCACCACTGCCTCCAGATGCCTTGTGAGTGTGCTTGGGACTTACAGTGCACTGTCGGATGTTTGGACATCATCCAAAAGGCTCTGTCTTCTGACAAGTGCTGATTAGATTGAGTGCCCACCAGGGATTCTAAGCCTTGTTTCTGTAACAGCCCAGTGTGTGTCTCTGCACAGCTTAAGGGGCTTTTACAAAACTCTCAAAATGAAATGAATTAAAATTTTGATTTCAAGAATAAACATGTGCCTTACAACACATTTAGAAAGGGGGGAGAGAGTGCCTCTCAATCCAATAAATGATCATTGCATGTCGAAATTCCAGAAACTTTGGGAAGTATTGGTGTAGGTGTTGTGAAAACATCTCTGGTTCTGTGGCTTCAGAGGGTGGCCACTGTTGAAAAATATATGTCTTAGTTCAGAAACAACTTGACCATTTTTTTTTCACTATTCTTTTGTTTTTTAGACAAGAGGAGTGGCAACACCGTTCAGTACTGGCTACTGCTAGATAGAATTATACAGCAAATAGTTATCCAAAATGACAAAGGGCAAGATCCTGACTCCACACCTTTGGAAAACTTTAATATTAAGAATGTTGTACGAATGTAAGTCTCTTCTTATTCTATTGCCTGTGAGATCATGGTGACGATGTAAAACATTGATTTTATTCTACTTCAGAATAACAGCTGGGAGAACTGAAATGTTCTAGGGGTTAAGTATGAGTTACTATACATACACATGCCATATATTTATATAAGTAACATCTGGATGTAAATGGGTTTCAAGCATGCACTGAGGATTTTCTCTGCAGTAGACTATTTTTGTACCTAGGGAGAATGCAGTTAGTAGTGGACCCTTTATGTTTTTTGTAATGAATGCTCTTTTAACTATTATACAGGTTGGTTAATGAAAATGAAGTTAAGCAGTGGAAAGAACAAGCAGAAAAAATGAGAAAAGGTAAATGATGAGGCCCTGATGAAAGAAGAGGCCATATTTCTGGTTATTGAGTAACCCTGCTTCCTATGTATTTTGGAAATTTGCATTGATGTTTCTTGTTGACTTTGGTGCAAACAGCCTTTCTTTTTCCATGTCTTAAGGGAATTTTGCACAGGCTTTTTTTGAATCCAGCTATTTTAGTTGTCATGCTGATTCTCAAATATTTTATGCTTTTATTATAATCATGTAAATTTTTTCAAAAGCTTGTAGCATTTCCTGTCCAGTATTAATTCAGATTTTCTTAACCACTAATCAGCCAAACCCTTTCTCCACTCCATAATGGCTCTTTAAAGCATAGTGGGGCTTAAGAAATATAATAAGGGATACTCAAGATTACTCAAAATTTTAAAAGAGAAGAACGGCCCATTTGGTTTCAGCAGCCCAATTCTCTCCATGACTTTAATTTGGCTCCAGTTATAAAAAGAGAAATCATGCAGAAAATCAGTGACCATTGCAGAGATATGTATTATGAAACATTAACAGGCCAGCTATTAGTGAGCATTTGAATATGTCCTTGATATTATTATTCAGCACCAAATGACAGGAGAGACATTTGTGTCCATAACTGTGCCAACCACTCACAGAAATGTGCAGAACTTTCCTCCCTTCTTCAAAATATTAGCAAGCTCAAATGGGCCCCTTTGTGAAAAAAATTATACTCCTGGCCACTATGCTCTCACCATGTTGGGTAACTGACTTCCTTTTCCTTGTCCGAGTTATTTATTCACAGCCAATGAAATACAGTAGCACTCACCCCAATATTTAATGTGCTGAAAGAGGGTCTAAGAGATACCTAAGCATTTCCTTTTCTCTCATCCATTTGTCCTTTTCCTTTGAGCAGAAAAGCAAAGCCACCACTGATAGTGGAAAATACCTAATGTGAAGAAGTGTTGTGTTACAAATTCCTTATCAGGAGATTGCTCTCAAATAAGTGATGTTGCATATACATTTTTAAAAATAAATTCTCCAGAAACTGCTACAGAAAGAATAGAAACATTGACTAAAAGTTAGGGTAAAGAGAGATTAAACCAAAGAAAAATGGTCAGCCAGTGGACATTTCGGGAATATACTATAGAACATGGAGACTTGAGTGTGCAAGTTGAGGAGAGTACTTAGGACATGAGCTTTGAAGTCACTTATTCATTCATTTGGTAACTGCGTATCAAATGCCTGTATCTGTCAGGTGCTGTGCTGGGCTCTGGGTCTGATACTCAACTCTGCCCCTGCTCACTGTGTGGGTGGCTAAGTCATGTCCTCACTTCTCCCCCAGTCTCCTCCTCTGCAACCTAAGGATTAAACCTAACAGCATTTTTGAAAACGAAATGACAAATATAAGAAGGTTAGCATATTGCCTGGCACATACTGGTTGCACAATAAATGACAGCAACTGTTACAGGTTTTAGGTGGCTGAGGTGGTGCAAAGAGAAGCTCCAAGGGCTGTGGGAGAGACAGGATAGTTTGAAGCGAAGCCATGGGTACAGTGTAAGAGAGGAGAGATTGTAGATAAAATTAATGTTTTTCTGGAAGCTTCAGGTAGCAAAGTTGTATTAAGTGGGACACATGAAAAAGACAGAAAGTTCTATAGACCTGAAAGGTGGAGAATATTTGAGAAGTCTCTTTAGCACAGCACACACAGAAAGTGCTCAATAAAAGCTTAGCAAATGGATAGTAAATGGATGTCATTTGTGGAGAGAGTTGTTTAGGCTGAAGCTTCCCAAACCTGGCATCACATCAGGCTCATCTAAGCAGCATTTGAAAACACAGATTCCTAAGTCCCGCCCCTGAGCTACGGAGTAGACTCCTTGTAGTAGGATCTCGGGGGTAAAATGAAATGTCAAAACTTCTCGGGTGATTTAGAGGCGCAGCCAGATTTGTCAAAGGCTAACGACCTGTGAGAGGAAGGCAAGTTCCTAGTCTTGTATTTGGCAAAGAGGAAGACATGGAAATAAAAGAAGGAAAATGGGATGCAGTTGAGGTTGTTTCCAGATGTATATCTGAAGAAGTCAGGGAAGCAACCATGCAGTGGTAGAAGTGGGTTGATGTTTATCTTAATTCCAAGGCTGGTAAAATCCCAGGATTTTAGTGGCTTGGACTCTAGGGAACTCAGGATAGGGAAGGTGAGAGACGGAGAAAATAAGAATTTAAATGTGTTATCAAATTTAGAAATAAAGACCAGCTCTATATAGCTCTGCCCCAGTGGATTATATCTCTAGTGGATCTATTGATATAAAAAGAATAGGAATTGAGGCCACATAATTGAAATAAAAATCTGCCTAAACTGCATTAGTTAGTTCTCTTGTCCAAAGCTCATCACACCTGTGAGCAAGCTTATATTCATTGGCAATACCCTGTGCCATTATAGCAGGATTGGGGAAGTCAGTAAAACCATAGCTGAGAGCTCATATTTTTCTCCCCCTATTACTGTGATTCTCATGCTCAACCAACATGACTGCCCTTAAGATATTTAATACTGAGATGATAACATTTGCTCTCACAAGTCTTACTAATTGTTTACCAGAAGCGTAAAATACTTCAAGTAGCCTTCTGAGGGGGAGATGGGGAAAATGACTTTGTGTTGAGACAAACCGTGGTCTGGCAGCAGCTCTTCCTCACAGGCATGATCCTCCCTCCAGCTCTTCTACTACCATGTTTCCCCCCAAATAAGACAGGGTCTTATATTTAGTTTTCCTCAAGAGGACACCCTAGGGCTTATTTTCAGGGGATGTGTTATTTTTTTTTAAGTACTGTACAACAATCTACATTTATTCAAATATAGTTAAGTCTTCATCTTTTGGAACATCATCACAGTAAAATGGCAGCCACAGCTTTCCTCCTCCCCCTGGGGACACACAATACCTAAAGCGGAATGTCGCACTCCTAACTTTACTGAGGAGACTGTCTCCTTAAAGCCTCAGCTTGCAGCACACACAAGATGGCTGGGACCTGACGGGGGGAGCTGACCTTGGTGGTGGTGCTGCCAGCGCCTTTCTGGTCTCGTGGGGATAGTAGCTGTCACAATGGGGCAGATGAGAAGGGCTAGGGCTTCTTTACCGCTCCACAAGGAAATGCACAGGTTGTGCAGACACGCTGCGTAGCCACACCCATCACTAGGTCTTATTTTCGGGGTAGGGCTTCTATTGCACAAATGCTTAGAAATCCTGCTAGGGTTTATTTTATGGGTAGGTCTTATTTTCGGGGAAACACAGTAGTTGGATGCGAGCTGGCAAACTGAGCTCACGAAGGCTGGACTTCTCTTGGTCTCGTTTCTAATTTGTGGGAAAGAGGCCATTTTAATATTCATTTTCCCTGGTGTTTGTTGAAGGGCCATTTCAATGACAAGACTCTAGATTAACTGCCAAACAGGCACCATTCTCCCTCACAAGTAGTTGCTCAAACTTTTGTTTCATTTTTAGGACAGCGACTGTAGAGTCTCTTCTTTAGTCTTTTACAAAAAGTTAACAAAGTTGTTCCTCTGAGGCACCCTCCAAGCACAAGCATCGTTTAGCCCTCCAGTGGCTCCCTTTGATGGGGAAGAGGAATAATATTTACCTAATAAAGAGCCTCACAGTCTCTGCCATCATCCTCAGTTTACTTTTTAGAGAAAATGCTTCGGCTTTGAAGAACCTCCTGTTTTCATGTGCGATTGTTTTCATGTGTAGAGCACAATGAGCTACAACAGAAATTGGAAAAGAAAGAACGAGAATGTGATGCCAAGGCCCAAGAGAAAGAAGAGATGATGCAGACTTTAAATAAAATGAAAGAGAAACTTGAAAAGGAGACCACAGAGCACAAGCAAGTCAAGCAGCAGGTGGCGGACCTCACGGCACAGCTCCAGGAGCTCAGCAGGGTGGGTCTTCCGCTCAGCTCATGGGCAGCTGCCAAGGCCTCCCTGACCCTGGAGCCCTTCTCCCTTACGTAGACAACTTCTGACTGGGGGATCAAAATCTGAAACGGCTCAGGATTGATCACACAGTTAGGCGACGCGCTCCCTCTGCTATCGTGTAGGTTAGGCAGCAGAGTTTGGGGATGTGCATTTTTAAATACTGCATGAATCTTCCACTAAGAGCAAATGAAATCACATTAGCTTCTTACAGTGAAAACTGACTTCATGAAAACCAAACTGTAGGATGGTGCAAAAAATGAAAGAAATGCAGAGAAGCACTTGAATGTTGCATACAAAATGGTGACCTGGTAGAGTCCACAAAGGCCCTAAAAAGTCCATTTGACTCACCAATCCTTTAACTCTGCAGTCCCCAACCCTTGGGCTGTTGACCAGTACCTGCCCGTGGCCTCAGAGCTCTGCTGTCCCCCACCCTGACTGTGGGAAAACTCTCTTCCATGAAACCAGTCCCCGGTACCAAAAAGGTTGGGGACCTCTGCTTTAACCCCATATTCTCAGAAATCTGAATTTCTCTATGATAGACATTTTAGGCAAGGTTTCAGACTTTCAAAATCATCAATAAATTTACTTCTGCCATTGATCTTTTCTTTTCCTATTTTTATCTTTTCAGAGGGCTGTCTGTGCTTCAATCCCAGGTGGACCTTCGCCTGGAGCCCCAGGGGGACCCTTTCCTTCCTCTGCACCTGGGTCTCTTCTTCCTCCCCCACCGCCCCCACCTCTCCCAGGTGGAATGCTCCCTCCTCCTCCACCTCCCCTGCCCCCGGGGGGCCCTCCTCCTCCCCCAGGGCCTCCTCCCTTAGGGGGACTCATGCCACCTCCTGGTGCTCCAGTGAGTCTGGCACTCAAGAAGAAGAACATTCCTCAGCCCACAAATGCCCTGAAATCCTTCAACTGGTCTAAGCTGCCTGAGGTAAGCCATTTGTTCCAATTTTCCCTCTAATGGACAGCATTAGCCCCTCATTGTGCTTTGAATGAAAGAGAAAACAGCCCTGGCTATTAAATGATTTCATTTTCTAGTGTGGACTGAGGGTTCTCACTAGCTCCGATATTGAAATGATAAAGCTTCTGAAATAAAATGACACATTGTTTGAAACCAGCTCACTTTTGGTGTCTAGTAGACTGAAAAATTTGGAATAGCAGTACTTTTTAAGAATAGCAATGCCTGTTCTTTTTGTATATAACATAACCCATAGCACGTATTAACTTGGTGTTTCTAGAACAAACTGGAAGGAACAGTGTGGACCGAAATTGATGATTCAAAAGTCTTCAAAATTCTAGATCTTGAAGACCTGGAAAGGACTTTCTCTGCCTACCAAAGACAGCAGGTAACAGCATATGCCCTCTAGATTCCAAAAAAGTTAAAAAAAAAAAAAAATCATGTGTTGTGCATGATCCCTGGTCCATCACCATGACCGTGATCTCATAAGCATCTTAGTTCTAGGCTGTTTGGTCTACCGTGGTGTGTTCTTGCAAAGCAACGTGGTGTGCATGTCCACATGTATGTCCAGGTGTCTTTCAGTTGTGTGTGAACAACTGAAGGTATGCAAGCTCCTTGTTAAGGAGCTTCGTACCCTGGTATGTGTCCAAGACCTAGTTTCTGTTGGTATAAAGAGTTCTGTATGTTATTATCACTTGTGTTTAGTCAAAATGGGTCATCAAGAGAAATTATTAGGAAAGTTAGAGAACTTATATTGTCACCTCTCAGTGTTTGTTTATGAAGCCATTTTGGTTTCTCTGATCTTTAAAAAATATATATCAAATGGTTACCATCAGAAGCAGAATGCTTTTTGAAATAGATAGAACACTTAGAAGTATGGGGGTTGGTGAATGACTATAATTTGGCAGCTCGATAGAACCTAGAGGGAAGTTTTAACTATGTCATAAACACAGCAGACTCAGAACTGGGCTGTGAAGACTGAGCAAGTTTAGAGGTGGCAGTGAGACAAATAGAAGCTACTGAAGAGTGAACAAAGCTATACCATAATTGTAGCAAGAACATGTGCTTGGTGCTTGCTGGCTGTCCACATAGTGAGCATCACTATGTGAGCCCTGGTCACCTCTGTGTTGTTCCTCTCGCTCCTCAAGAGGGCATCTTGATAGAGTCTCTTAAAGTTGGACCAGAAGGGATCACAGCAAGGTGGCAGGTATGGAGAGTGTCAGAACAAAGGACACTCAAAGTGGGATCCCTGGAAAGGGAAAAATTGAGTCCAGGAGTGTGAGAAGAAAGATTCTTGAGGATGACTAGAGAAGAGGAATGATGAAGAAAGCAGAGTGCATCTTAAACAGGAACATACAAATGCTGAACATCTTACAGGGGTTTTTTTGGGGGGCTTTACTGAGAGGCCCTTACCTTCCAGATAAGTCATGTCCAGGGTGGAGCATCCTCAAACTAGCAGCAGACTTCCTAATTGGCTCACTTGGCTTCGTTCCCAAGAAAAAGTGTCTCAGAAAAGAAATGCTAAGCAGTAAGAGAAGGTGGACTGAGGGTGGGGAGCTAATTTTTTTTTTCCAAAATGGTCTTTAATGTGTCTGAAATGGGAGGGGGGTTGTAATATTTCACCACAGTATTTCACTCTAAGGGAAAGTTTCTCTACAGAACCTTTTCTTTTTCTTTTCTTTTTTAGAGACAGGCTATCTGTGTCACCCAGGCTGGAGCATGATCATAGCTCACTGCAGCCTTGAACTCCTGGGTGCAAGCAATCTTCTCACCTCAGCCTACCAAGTAGTTGGGACTGTGGGGGTGTGCCACCACATCCAGCTAGTTTTGTTGGTTGTTTTTTGTGGGGTTTTTTTGTAGAGACAGGATCTCACTATGTTGCCCAGGCTGGTCTTGAACTCCTAGGCTCAAGCAGTTCTCCCACCTCAGCCTCGCAAAGTGCTAGAATTATAAGCATATGAATCACTGTGCCCAGCTGCAGTACCTTTTACGCTGGTTTAATAAAGTACAAAGATAGAGGTGGTTGCCTGCCATGGTGACATGAACCCTTAAAACAGGAGCCCTCAGCTGGGTTCCCCTCCCCATAAATAAGAAGTCAAACTTCTGCAGTGTTATACAGACCAAAGAAAGGAAAATGAAGAAAAGAAGATATTGGCATTGTCCAATAGCTAGCTAGATACCTTATCTTTCAGTGGACAAACAAAGGGTGTGTTTAGAGTCCCCATATGGCATGTGCTCTGACCAGACTCATTCCTGATTGGCTGCAACCTGCCTTTTCTCTCTCTCTGCTATCCCAGGATGGTGTCCCCTGAGCCTCGACATGAGTCATGGGACATTCTTAGCAAGTTCCCTGGCAATTGAGATAATCATCTTCTGACCTGGGTACACATCCCATTACTTTCCCACTTCAGTTTCAGTTGCTAATGCTGGTTGCCTAAGATGAAGGTTTGGGAGCTTAAAGAAGTAAATTAAAGGAAGGGAAAGCATCAGTTACGCCAAATGATGCTATTCAAGTCCAAGCATGCGAGCTGCATTTATTATAAAGGCAGGTGGTTGAAAGACCTAAGTTTACAAGACTCATAATTAACTGGCTTTCGGCAGAAGGTGCAGAAGAATGCTGCCAAAATGCTCTGGGACAAATATGTGGACAGTTCTCAAGAGCTCTGGGAGACAGGACTGCAGGAAGCCTAGCGACTGGGTAATTGCCTCCTAGCAACCAACACTGTTTAAGTAATCAGTAGGCATTCCAATCAGGAGAGACCAGAACATTTTGGTTGTACTTAACACTAAGTAGACAGTAAGTAGAATCAGTTGTGACTGTATTTTCAACAGCACTTTATGGAGAAAAATTTCAACATACCTGTCCAACTTGAGTAATTCAAGTGTATTTTCCTTTTGGTGCAAAAACTTGAGAATTTTTATACCATAATATATTTTCTAAATGAGGGTAATCTGAGCCATTGTATCAAATTTACTGAATGTTGAGAGAAAGAAAATCCAAAGATGTGGACATTCTGATTGGGTTATGTAGGGCAGAATAAAGGACATGGATGGCTGTCATCTCATGACCAATGGAAACCTCAAAGACCTATGCATTTCACCTCAGTCTTGACAATGCATTATATGATCCACCTGAACTGCTCTTTTTTTCTGCTCCCAAGTGAATGCTAGGAACCTTTTGTTTTCATGGCATCCCCCTCTTTCCTCCCTCCAGAATTGAGAAACCCTTGTCAATTTCATGCAGTAGGCACCCTACACAGGGTAAGGTTCTGAAAAAAATCTCAGCAATGGCAGATCAGTATAATTACAATGACTCTTAGGGCATAGATACATACATACTCTATACACACACTTATAGATACATATACATACTTGTATACATATGTATATACTTGCGTACTTATACACATATAAACTATGATTGATTTGAGGAATATTATATCATTAAAATCAGAACAGATATTTATAGTGTCTGCTTTGTGTATAAAGTACTTCAAAGGATGTAAATTTATTACACTTTTGCACAGGTCCACAAGGTAACCTATGGTATAAACACAGAGAGGAGAAAAATTTGTAAATTACCATAATATGGACTAAAAGATGATAATCAGTGTTAAGTATTCATTACATTCCTGGTGCGCTGATTATGATATACACAGTTCCAGTCTCTTCCACTCTTAAGATTTAGTTCTCAAGGAGCTCTTATACTTCTTTTTTTTTTTTTATTTAATGCTCAGCCCCAACTCTATGAGGTACATATTATTCCTATTTTATAGGTAATAAAAATATGGCTTAGTGTGTATTTAGTGACTACAAAGTAGCATAATCCTCAGTTTTACTTTGCTTTTTACTCCATAGGTTTTTTTCGTTATGAATATCAGACTTTGTATAGGATTTTCTTTTAACTCCAGTTTTAAGAACAAGACCACTCCTATTCAGAATTTTTTTCAGTGCAAATATCAAAAGTGTGCAGAGCTGATTATATAAGCTTATGTGCCACATGAAACAGAATTTAGTAGCATACATTTATTCCTCTACTCACATTCCAAAAGTTCATTTGAAAGTCAATTCCTTGACTCCCAGGACCTCTTTTTCTCATTGAAACTACATTATACATGATTTCAGGGCAGCCACAAAAGATTTATTTTAATACATAATGTAGCACATTACATACAGTACTGTTTCAGATACAATTAGCACATTGCATAGTAGTACTATTTCAGATATAATTAAATAATATTCATCTCGGTTTTATGAGAAATATTTATCCTGAGATGCTATAAATTCATTTCTCCCTGTCCATGCAGTTGAATAGAAGGGAAATGAACGAAAGGTACTACATTTACCTAAAGGAAGTCATATCTCTATAGCCACAAATTAACAGCTCACTATCTCTTCCTTCCTCCTGGGCTTTGCCTAAGGACAGCCCTTCTTTCAGGATCCTTTTATCAGCATTTTGTGTAATTTTTCAAAACCTCTCTGCTCCAGAGTCCAACTCCCCTGCTAATATGTAATATATAAGACATTTTGGGGGTTCCATTTAGAACATCCAGTGATATCTCCCAATTTTTTATAAATGGTCAAAGACTTTTCTATTCTTTTCATATTTTTCATTCTGTACATCTAATTTCCCCACTAAAAATTAGATAATTATTTTCACCTTGAAAATTAGATGATTTAGGATATTTATTTTAATAATTTTGGTCCTTAACCATGGCACATGAAGGCAGAAGAGAGAATTGTAAATAGTGGTTTTCTTAGGACCAAAGTGTAAGTTCTATAACTAGGCTCCATGGTAAGATATAGTCAAATACAGGGCTCTATATAAATATAGTATATGGATTTTTCTGGAGAGAAATCCCTACCTTTTATCAGATTTACAAAGATATGTCAACCTCACAAAGATTAAGAACCATTCATGTAAGGCTTATCATTATCTATGAAGTGTTGAGTCATTGTTTCATTGTGGCATCCTATCTATAGCAATGTATCAGCACTGCTTCCTGAAAATGCAACTCCCAACTTTCTGTTTATATTTCAAGCCCTAAGCCTTCTACCAAAAATCATCTGGAAAAATCAGACCTCCTGTTAGGTGGAGCCACATATAGGTGATTCTATAGTATTTGACCCAATCCCATTAGAAATATCTTTTGTTATTTCTCTCTTATTTTTGAGTAAATTAATTTAAGATTGCAGAAAGAATGTTAACTTACTTGAAATAGGCCTGGAAGAATTGTTATTTCTAACAATGAAACTTTGAGATTTTATTTAGAATGTGTCGATTAAGGGACCTTTAAAGAAGTGGAATCTTTAAGTTAACAATTAACTAAACTCTTGCTTGGCAGTCTTCATTCCACCTCTGGAAAGATAAGATACATTACTTAGCTATTAACTGTTATACTTACTGCTTCTGCTGGTTACAAGTGGGAGCTCTCGCCCAGCTGTTCTCTAGCTCAGCTGAAAGCAGAGCAGAAGGGGTATACTGGACTTGAGCATCAGCTTGAAAGATAAAATAATTGTATTATTGTAGCTTCCAAGGATGGAGCTGATGAATATGTGTCAGGTACTATCAAAATGCTTTACATTCATTGTCACATTTAATCCTCACAATAATTATCTGATTGTTAACCCATTTCACTCATTCTCTCAGATGGAGACTGAGCCCCAAGCCACACACCCAGGAAATGGCAATTGCCTGAATCCATAGCTCTCTACACTGGAGGTCAGAAGTCTTAATTTCCTGACAGTGGGAACTTAAAATGTGGAATGAGTTGCCGGAGAACTTCATAAAAGTTTCATCTTGAAGACCAGATAATGAGAGCAGGATCTAAATTTAACTAGTGACTTTCTCTTTAAGAGAAAAAAAATAGGTTAAGATGACCTCATGGAGCTCATTTCACTGTGGTCTTTTCTGCCCTTGAAAGGAAACTGTTTTACAGGAAGAGTCCTGAGGAGCTTCGGAGTTGAAAAATTGACAGTTGCTATAGGGACAAAAGAATATCAGAGGGACAGAAAGTTTTCTTGTAGTTATCAATTTATTTTTTAAATGCCATTCTAGAAAAGCAACCCCTCCTTGTATGGGCAGAGCAAGGGGAAGACACATTTTGTTTCCCACTAGAAGAATTATGTGAAACAGCTTATCTGTGTGAAATTGACCTTGGCATTGCTGCCGAGACCAATGAGACCTTAAGGAATCTGCCGAGCAAATGCTGGTTGTGCAAGCTGTTGGCCCAAAAGCTAGGGTGTGTTTTGCACACTGAAGTTTTATTCATTCCAGCATTGCAAAAATATGCAACCAAAGCTGTAACTTTCTCATAATGTGTCAATTACCTCTTCCTCTTTCCTGTTTCCACTCCAAGTCTTTTCTAAAGACTGTTTCCAGAAGCGGCCATGCTTGAACAGTCCTGAGGCAGTTGGGACAGGGCCACCAGGGACCACACACATGAACTTTTGGTTGTCTCTTAATTGCACATTCTGTTTTTTTCCCTCATACCTACCTATAGCACCTACAGGCATTGTTTGGACCCTACAGAGTTAATATTACTGATTGGGTTGTTTAGCTTGTCCTTAATTCTTCCTTATGACACAAAAAGACAGGAGATTATGTCTACCAAAGTTACATACTTTTCTTACAGTACATAGCAGTGGGAATAGTTTCCTCAAGTTGATGGGATTGATTGATATTCTACTTCAAGTGAAAATCATCACATTGAATAAAGGGAGCCAGTGATCATCTCAAAGAAGATTTGTTCCTTTCCCAGCTTGAGTCTTCCTGGGGTGTTTTAAGCCCTATGCTTTTCTGAATAAGATTTGCCACCACTGAAAACTGTGTACTGCAAATGTCATCTTCCTCAACCCTGAATACTTCGTACCGTGCTCTTACTTGTATCTTCTGCCAGACTTTCTCATCTTTATCAACTCTTGTTGATGATCTTAGGGGCATAAGTCATCTCTTACCCTGCATCACTGATTTCCTTGACTGCTCTGACTTGCCCTCATTTGTTGCTGTGATTTCTGAACTGCATGTATCTGATTTGCCTTTTCCATGCCTCTGCCATGGCTGTAGGATTTCTTTGTGAGCAATAACTCCAAGCAGGTAAGTGAGCTACTACTTAAACCTTGCTTAATATAATTCCTTGGCTCACTGGAAGCTTGAAATTTCTTGGTTATCCAAGTTTTTTTTTGTTTTTGTTTTAGATAGTATAATGCAATGCCTAGGTAATTCTAGGATTGGATTGGATTTCAATCCTAGATTGGATTTCAACTCTTAACTGAGTATCTAGAGGTATGCCTGAAATTTCAGCACAGCAAGAGACAGTTGACATTTGATCACGTGGTGCCTTATTATAAATCTGACATTGCCTTTGTTTCCTAAACTGTTATAGTTTCAGAGCTCTTTGGTTTCCTTACATTTTTTAAATGCCATAATATTCTTTTTAATTGATCATGACTGCTAATAAAATCAAGCTTGCTGTTTATCAAATTAATCTGTGTTTTCACCTTAGACTTTTTATTACTAATCAATTCCTCTGATGCCCAGCTTACTCAAACAGTATTTTATATATAATTGTTAAATGCCTATTCCGGCATAAATTATAACTGGCCATCAAGGCTTACGGATTTCTGTGTAACAATAGAATATGCAAGTAATGTTTTATTGTTAATTCAGGTAACCAAACTAATGCCTTGGACTGTCCCCTCCCCACTGTCCATCATGCTCCAGGGTAATGAAAGATACCATCTGGACTTGGGAGCTTCCTGATGCACAGGAAGACGTTTGGGAGCCTTTATTGTTTAGCTTTTTTGAGTGCTCAGGATGCAAATGGTTCTGGGGCGAATGAGCCCTGCAAATGGCTAGGCCTGTGATGGCAAGCCTCAGCTGAGCTTGATTCATAGTGACAGTTCTTCTCTCTACAATCCATAGGAATTTGGGGGACAAAAGGAGGGCACCACTCACTGATAATTATGCACGCTTAGCATCTTCAACTTAGAAGCAGTTTGTTCTTCCAAATAATGCTTTTTCAAATGTGGGTGGTCAGCTTTTCTTACTGTTTCCCATTGCCACCTAGATTGTAGGCTTTGTTTTAGTTCCACCACCTCCCTGCACTCCCCACCTCCCCATCTCAGCTTCGCCTGTGTGTGTATGTGTAGAGTGTGTGTATATGTGTGTGTGTGAACAGAGAATGTAAAGGAAAAGTGTATGTATGAAGTCTGAATGTCACTGCTGGACTTTGATGGATGTCTCTCATGCTCTTTACAGAAAGAAGCAGATGCCATTGATGACACACTGAGTTCCAAACTTAAAGTCAAAGAGCTTTCGGTGATTGATGGTCGGAGAGCTCAGAATTGCAACATCCTTCTCTCGAGGTATTGTTGATGTTGAATAAACATTTCTAGTAGGACCAGGGTTTCTAGTATGTGGCTCAAAACCACATGTTTGTAATTTTGTTTTAATTGTACCCTGCTGAGGTACAGTTCTTTGGATTCCCTTCTGTTAAAATGAGAACTCTTAGTGCTGACTTTCCCTAGTGGAATATATCAGAGCTGGATGCATACTTTCTTAGAGTTTAATTTCCACAGACAGAACATCCTAAGTTGTTCTCTTCTTCCCAGAAGGCCCATAGAGTGAACTTGAGTTTTATTTACACTTCTTGGCCTTAAAGATATGTTGGTTGTTGAGTAGTATTGTCACAGAATCAGGACCAAGATGAAAACTCTTTGTTTTACTTTGCTTTCTAATGTCACCTTTTTATATTTCAAAATTATCTGATTTCATGATCTTTTTGAGCATTTTTTATGGTGAAAAGGACATGAAAATCTCAAACCTCAGTGAAATGCTAATTTTTTTCAGTTTAGCCCTGTTCAGAAATCTTTCTCATAATTAGTGAACCATCACAGTCTTGGAACTTGAAAAGAAAAAAGGAAATTTGGGAACCTGGAATCTGATTGCAGCTTCAGGCAGTATTGTCAAGTCATTCTAGGAATTTTAAATCTTTTCTGTATCTAGTTTCTTCTTTTTTCTAAAAGGTTCTTTCACTTTAGGCAAAGACACCTAATGCTTATGAGGTGAATGAAGATGTAAGGAATCTTGAATGCTGGGGCTTTAAAGATAAGCTGCATCCTGAAAGGAATGTTGCATCTGCAGTGGGGCTGGCATGTGGTGACTTCTCTTTCAGGGAGGGTGAAGAGGGAGAGTAATAGTCCTTATTGTTTAGTTGGTCTTAGAACAAGTTTCTTTTAACACAGAGCTGCTGCTTCATTTTCACTGTAGAATCTTGATGTTTAGCCATATATATATTACTTTAGGGAGCAAATGTTTCTATTAGTGAAAGAGAAATTGAACCTTGGTGAGATCCCTGAATTTTAATGCAACTGGTAAGGTAATATGAACCATCCTGTTAGCATTTCATTTCTGCCTCTGGCTGAAAGCTGTGTAAATGGCCAAACCCTGTATTTATTCTGACTTTTGCTCCATGAACCATGCTCAGGTTAGATAAAATATCTATCTGCCTTGAAATAATTGAAAATAATTTCAAGGTCTACTTATTTTTCTTCTACAGTAGTCCTCCTTATCTATGGTTTTGCTTTCCAAGGTTTCAGTTACCTGTGGTATAGTACAATAAGATATTTTGAGGAGGAGGAGGAGGAGGAGAAGAGAGAGAGAGAGAGACAGACAGACAGACAGACAGACTGACAGACATACTCTATATTCACATAACTTTTATTACAGTAAATTGTTACATTTGCTCTATTTTTTTACTATTGTTGTTAATCTCTCACTGTGCCTAATTTATAAATTAAACTTGGTCATAGGTATGTATAATAGGTATAGGAAAAAACATAGTACTGTATAAATAGGGTTCAGTACCATCCACAGTTTCAAGCATCCACTGGGGGTTTTGGAATGTACACCCTGGACAAGGGGGGACTACTGTACAGTGTATACAATGTGTTTTGTTACCTTTTTTACAAATAATATTCTTAATATCAAAATTAAATGAAGATTTGAGGAAAGTTATTTATTTTTTTTTTAAATCTTGGATTTTTTCCCTGTATTTTCTGTTCGTGCAGTCCAGATGAACATTTTAAAAAAATTGACAAAGGGAGCTATCGTTATGAATTTCTGTAGTGTTGAAATGCTTGTTGAGTAAAAACCATGACCTAGTTCCTCATAGACAGATTATTCAGTACTAAATGCCAACCGGGATAATTACACTAGTTATAGATAAGGTTACAACTCTTTCTGGCAAATTTCCCATCACATTATTGAATGATTACATATTTGTGGGATGTAATTCCCTTGTTCCCTCAAAAGTGTCAGAGCCTAAGGTGACTTAGAAGTTTAATGTGTCTAAACTCTATTTAGAAGATAATTTTAAGAGCCAGCCTCATACCTGTTAGATTATCTATTAAAATCCAATTTAATGAATAAATGTTGTTATACAATGAGCACAGTGAAAAAGTGCATTGTGTGTAACAAAGTGATTTTGAGTCCCAGTTGACTTAATGGTATTTGGCCTTATTGATCAGGTTCTAGAATCTTCTCTCCCACAGACGATTCAGTACCACATCCTTTTCTGCTCAGTGATAAGTTTTGCTCTTCCTTTAGGAATACCTAGACTGACGTTTTAAATGGGTTGTGGTGAAAGTGCAAGAAATTAAGCAGATTTAATTTCAATTTGTATTTTATTTAGTTTTTTTAACCAGTTAGCAGTTTACCTTTCATTCTCCCTTTTTCACTGGCAGTTCATTACTATGCACAAAAGGAGGTAGGGGCTTAAAGGAGGGGAGAGATATATGAAAGTGTGTTTGATACTTTTTGCTTAGACAGTCACCACTTTGGAGCATTAATTTGCCTGACATTGGGTAGGCTGGGCGCCATAGGACATACTAAAACTTAACAGCTAGGCATGGTGGCACAATCCTATAATCCCAGCACTTTGAGAGGCTGAGGCAGCAGGATTTCTTGAGCCCAGGAATTTAAGACTAGCCTGGGCAATGTTAGACCCCATCTCAAAAAAATAAAATATAAGATAGTGTTGCTGGTATTGAAAGCTCAAGGCTATTGGAGAAGAAAAATGGCACACATGAGAAGACTTGTGAACAATTCAGGGCTTATACTGGTCTGGCTGGAAGAACACAGGGAGCTCAGCCATGTGAGGCAAGGATACCAGTAGGGTTTACCAGAGAAAATGGACCTCAAAGTACAAGAACCATTACATGGATTATATGCATGTATGTGTATATGTGTGTGTGTGTGTGTGTGTGTATTATACACACACACACACACACACACACACAGAAAGGATGGGGACGTTAGTTTCAAGGATGCATGCAGAAGCAGCAGCAAGGACGCAAGAGGGGTCTAAGCATAAAGACAGCCCTGTGATCACAGCAGGGAATTACCAATTGGATTGAACGAAGCTAGGCAGGAGAGCCTGAGTTTCACTCATACTAGTTATATTGTATTGGTTGTGCCTTTATAAGGGCAGCCCAGGGTCAAGTCATAACCTCTGCATCTATAAAATGGAGATCATGAAAGTAGTAGCCTTGCAGTGGGCTTGTAAGAATTGGTCCTCATACGTGCAAAGCCCCTGGCAGGGTGCCTGCATGTGCTAGCTGCTCGGTTAATGCCTGTTTATGTATCCATGGGATTAGGAATCTGGGCAATTTTTAAAGGAGGAGAGCAGTGTGTGGCTTTTTAAAATAAGGTTTTGAGTTTGGTCTCTCAGAGGTTTGCAGGACAGGTTGGAAGGGCTCAAAAGCTGGACTCCTAGCCGTCAGATAGGAGTGTCTTTCTGTTGTCCAGGTGAGCCCCAATGAGGGACAGCCTTGAGAGAGATGAAGAAACCCTCGGTAGTATGTGAAGACTGATTTCGTGCTTGGGGACAACAAATAGGAATGTTTCAAAGATGACGTCAGGGTTTCCTACCTTTTCATACTTACTGTCTTTCTTCTTTTCTGCTTATCTCATTCCCAAAGGTTGGTGAACCTCTCTATTACTTGTCTTGCTGACGAGGATTTATTTACCAGCAATGTAGTCATTACACCATGATGAAGGTAGTCCACCATGATGAACGCCTATGGTGTATTCCATAGGCTGTGTTATAATGAGCGCTTGTGTCTGCAGTATTGGTTATGCCTTGAGGCTGTCCCTCACTCATAATGTTCTTCAAATGTTAGAGGGCCCTTTGGTTGGGGGCACCTGCCACAGCTTTGTCCTGAGCCAACCAGGCAGTTTGAAAGAGGACATGCAGGGAGGAGATGCAGCTCACCTCACGCCTGAGTGAGTGGTGTGTTTACAGCGTGAGGCGCAGAAGGTATGAATTTGAATGGGGAGCTCCAGGGCACCAGGAACTGGACCTGTCACAAACTTCAGAATAGCAATGATGTACCTTAAAATGAGAATTTATTCCTTAAGCCTTCATCAGAGTAAGCAACTTTTCTACACATGTATATGGATGATGTAGCAATTTAAAATTCATTGCTTTATTTCCTAAAACAGACCTCTTCCCTCCAAGAAAAGAAGAGAAAAAGAAACTTGGAAACAGATTTATATTACAAAATGAACCCACCTAAGACATAGTTTTATGAAGTGTTCTACCATTCTTTTTTTCCAGATGCTCACTTAACATGGCAGCCTGGGTGTAGTAAACCATGAAAAGCTACTTTAAAGTGGGGGGATTTGGCTTAAATCCACTGAAGCAGAGCTAAGGCTGATCTAGCCATGCATCCCTAACTTATTTTAATTACGTCTGGATGTTCCAGTTCTCTTGGCAAATTGTTGAAATATTTGAGTAGAGCAAGGTAGAGGTTAAATACTGTTTTAAGATGGCTGGTTTGCTTCCTGCCTTATAAAGAAAGTTGGAATGGATGTCTCAAAAGTTGCCACCCTCCAGCACACCAGAACACTGCCAAGCTTTAAAAACAATTAAAAGGTTAAATTGGTAGGGTCCTTAAATTACAGAGATTAGAGACTCATTCTGTGGATGACAGATGATACTAAGAACTCTGCAACCTATAGAACTGTCCCTGAGGGCGGGTACCCTTCTCCTCTTTCCCCCAAGGTAGGGTTTCTTTGTCTGATCCAGCAGGCCACGTGCATGGCTTTACGTTGACAGGTAGATTTTCTTAAGTACTATCCATTAAAGTCTCAAGTCTCTTTGTGGGCCACATTAAGAGAAACCAAAATTGTTGTGAATTAGAGCTAGTGTTTAGTCCAGACAGCCTCTGGGGGTTGAGAAGCATAAATATATACAATTTCAAAAGCAAGAAGTTCTGCAGTCCATATGGGGAGCTAATGAAATGCAAATCTGATACTTCAAGTGTTGTTCTCACTCTGATTTTCAACTCCTTTTCTTTTAAATGCAAAACAGAAGGACTTGGTAGAACTACGCCATAAAATGGTTTCTTCAACTCGGTGTGAAAAGGACACAGAACTAATTTATTTTTTTCTTATAAGGGGAGCTGTTTTTGTGATAGCTCTAGATGTTTCCACAGCCAGTTGGTTTTCGTTAGTGGCAGTTTCAACCTTCCCGCTTGTTACTGTTCCTTGGCTTTGCATGACCTCTCAACGGAGTTTGTCTTAGATCCACTCGAGCCTTTCACTGTCCTGGAATCTTGGGCTACGCACGGCCTGTGCAGTTGAGACCTTGATGCTGTGACACGTCTTTTTCCCTGTTGTGTACTTTATCCATGCCAACTTAGCCACACTCTTCTATCTAAGCGTGGGGATTTCCTATCACGATGTTATGGCGAATGAACGTGATTTGTGATTGTCAGTAGTGATTGTCCCAAGAGTGACTAAAACCATCTGGAGAAGTCTGCCAGGACCAAGGTTGCTATACACCACACAGGGGTTAAGACAGTACCACAACTCAGACGAGGTGATAGAACAGGTCTTATTTGTTAACACGGGTGATCTGGCTCTTTGCCTAGAATGCTATATTTGGATTTGAGGACATGAAATAGAAGACAATGGTATTTGCATGACAGGATTTCCAAATTTGTTCCTTCTCGTTCTTACTGGCACATGAAGCAACATTCAGTTTAAATAGCAGGGTGGATGGTTTTAAAAAAATCATATCCAAAATCTGGAGAAAAGGACAAGCCAGAGGCGTCCACAGTGGGGTGTGGCTCATCCAGCTTCCCTGGGAGGTTCTTTCCTCTTTCTGCTGCCTCTGAGTCCACACTCCCACCCAGTCAGCCCTCACAGCTGTCTGAGATCAAGGGTGAGCGTGCGCTTTATATACCTGTATGTCTTACGTATTTCAGTTGATCATCTGATTCTCCCAAAGATTATAATCCCCTTTAAAATAAGGACCACATCTTCTAATCCCTCTTTAATATTCCTAGACCTGCTGGGGGTCATATACAGAAAGGAAACCTGGGTGAAATAATGGGTATGAGAGTGCTTTGGGAAGTGTTCTCAGTAACCCTGTTAAGCACTGTTTACTGATCTCTTAGCTATGTGTGAATATTAAGGTTATGAAAGGACTGCTACTTTTTCTTCTGATATATAACGTCTGCCCTGTAAGATATACGTAATTTATTGATCCCTTGCTACGGGAAGGAGCTATTCTAAGCACTTTATTTTTATTTATTTATTTTTTTTGAGACAGAGTCTCACTTTGTTGCCCAGGCTAGAGTGAGTGCCGTGGCGTCAGCCTGGCTCACAGCAACCTCAAACTCCTGGGCTCAAGCAATCCTTCTGCCTCAGCCTCCCAAGTAGCTGGGACTACAGGCATGCACCACCATGCCCGGCTAATTTTTTCTATATGTATATATTAGTTGGCCAATTGATTTCTTTCTATTTATAGTAGAGACGGGGTCTCGCTCTCGCTCAGGTTGGTTTCGAACTCCTGAGTTCAAAGGATCCGCCCGCCTCAGCCTCCCAGAGAGCTAGGATTACAGGCGTGAGCCACCGCACCCGGCTTATTCTAAACACTTTAGGTGCATTAATTTTTTAATCCTCACACGTGCACACACAAACACAAAAAAATCCACTTTGGGGGATGTGGTTATTATTATTCCTATTTTACAGTTGAGGAAACTTGAGTCTTAATAAAAAGCTTTTTATGGTCACACTGACCATGAAGTGTCAGAGCCAGGACTGGGACCCAGCCTGTCTGATACCCAAGTTTCTACCTTCAAAAGTTGCAAGTGCCATGTGTACATCTTGCTCTATATTTGTGTGTTTATGTCTTTATCTTCCAGTCCTAAATATGATTCTTCTTGAATAGCATAGACTAAAAGAACAGATCAAGTGATGTTAATATGTAACTTTTTTTGTCCTGATTAAAACTCTTGTTACACCTATTGAAAACCCATTTTTACAAGTATATTTTAATTTCAGTGCTTATGTAATATTTTATTGTCAACTCTTTGTTCTGACTTAAGCCAAATTTCTAATTAAATTAGTAAATCATTTAAGTTAATGGTAGACAGAAAAACAAAACATAGATTTGTGTGTTAGCTTAAATCTTTCCCCATGAAATATTAACTAGATAAGCAATATTTGTAAAAAGAGTTTGGAATTAGCAGTTATGTCTTGGGTTTGTGGCTGCTGTCAGTTTGACCTTTGGCAGATCACTTGGCCATTCTGTGCCTCAGTTTTTCGATCTATTAAAAAAAAATGACCATTACAGGTATTTTGAGAATCAAATGAAATAATATATGTGGAAAACCTCTCAACTCTGAAGTGCTTATATTAATTGTTGTTCAACTTTTAAACAATAACATATGGTTTCTAACCTTCTCAAAATCCATTTTTCACTTTACAACAAACTTTAAACATGCCTGACATTAAGCAGGTCAGAAATTTAGTTCTGTCCTCTCACCTGCAATTCATGGATACTACATATAAAAGAAAACAGTTGTGTGTGAGTGTTTCCCCTATTTCTAATCTTCCAATCCCTTGCTTAAGGAAACTAAACCATAGAACATAGCAGCTTTGTTCTCTGTGTCAGCAGAGCATTACAAAGCCCTGAAAGAATGTTAAAGCAGTTTCAAAATCCTATTTTTAGGTGCAGTATTGTTGAGAAATAAGCTTTCACTGAGAGATTTTGAGAAAAACAGTACTTGAAAGTCAGCAGCTGAAGTAGCAAAATGAATTATCTTGTGTTAAATTTTAGTATTCAAACCAAAACTGTTAACCACCAAATAAAATATTCTTTCTCCAGGTTGAAATTATCCAATGATGAAATCAAACGAGCAATTCTGACAATGGATGAACAAGAAGATCTGCCCAAGGACATGTTGGAACAGGTGAGCTGCCAGACATGTCTCAAAGTATAAGTGACAACTGACTTCAACAGGGGATGGGATGTTGAGAAAACCTGGTTGTTGCTAGTAGATAATTTCCCCTTCTCTGAATCGAGGAGGTTGAACCAAGCTTCCACGCAGCTCTGTTGGGAGACTTTATGACCGTATTCTCTCACCGTTCCCCGAAATAATGGGTAGAAAGGCAGTTCTTGAGTTTGTCAAATGCTTGAGACCCACAATACCAGATTTTGTCCTTTAAGCTACAATTAAGTAATTATGCCTTAGTAAATCACATACATCTAGTGTTAGGAGAAAACCTCTATTTCACAGGAATATGAGAATCTCACTAGCACTGTGAGATCACACATGGCACAGCACAAACTGAGTACCACATTCTTCACACAATTTGTATCTTCGTCTTGGCTTACCGTTCCCACAACCACAAAAGCCACCATTAAAACCCCAGCACTATCATCTGTATCTAAATACGTGTATATGTCATAAGGTGGGTCGTGAATTTCTTGAGGCTAAATAGTGTCTCTGTATGTTGCACAGCCCCAATTTGTGTCATAAATGGCAGCAGGTATGGGATTTATGGCAGTTGATACACATCTTTGTCCATGACATTTGAATGTAGTTTTTATTAGCCACGGCCAAGCAGCAGTCCCTCTTGACACAGCATTTCTGTAGCATTTCGGTTTAGGCACTCTGACAACGTCATGTGTTGCTCAGCAGCTTTGTTCACTTGTCCCCCAGATGACAATGTTCTTGAATTAGCACATATTCCAGGGATTCTCACCCATCTTTGCCCTCTTCCCCTCTGTCCAGTGTAAATTTTTATGTGTCTTGTGATATTAGTCTCAGAATGTTTTAGACTATTCCCTCTTTCTGTCTCATCATTCGTGGGATAGAATCATTTTGAGTGATTTTGGTCCAAAGGTCCACATTTGTTAGAGCCAGATCACTTAAGGCCGACGTGGACACTAGCAACCATGATTCCAGGCTGCACCCAAGGTCTTATCTGTGGGTATGCTCAGCTACAAGGGAAAAAGAGAAGGGTATTTTGTGCTAACAGTGGTCCTGGGTGTCAAGGCTGCTCTGGGTGGAGTGCCTGTCTGTCTGCGTGTGCATTTTTCATGGTTCTCACTGATGTCCTTGAGGTTCTTGGACACAAAGCAGGGAGGAGTGATGTGTGCAGCATCACCTCCTAAATGGATCTGCCCCTCCCTGCAATCTCTACTGCTGGAATTGTCCCGGGTAAAAACCCTCACACTTAGCAGTGGAAAATTTTTCCATACTGTCCTTTAAAGGTTTGATTTAATTATTAAAATAGTTAATGGCTGTTCTCAAGTCTCTTAGGCTGCTCCATTACGACTGGTTTAGAAATACTCCCTAAACCTGAAATTCATTTTGTAGAGCGTCCTCCAACTCTTCCACTCAGTCTTCCTCCCGCACTGTCTACCAGTCAACACGGTCTCTACCCTGGGAGAGTGGAGCCCCTCTCCCTGTCCCTCCCTGCCTCCCAAGTGACCTTGCGTTCAAGTCACCTGCATGCAAGGTTGCTAACCCAGAGTGGAGAAAGAACTGTGTGCAAAGCTGCTTTAGTCCTTCTGCCTTAAGCCCCTAACGACAAGGTTGTATGTTTAAAATTCCACAAGATCTGTTTACTGTGAAATTGTGTCCAGCAAAATTCCTCCTTGAGGGAAAGGATTTCAGAATCTTGCCAAATGGGCTTGCAGTGCAAATAGAATGTACTTCAAATAAATACAAGAAAGAAAACCAGTCTACTGAAGCAGAATCTGGCCAAGTAGGGTATTTTTTGACCTGGCCTTTTTTGATCATTCTGCGTCTGTCTTGCTCTCTGGTCACATCCCACATTCTTTCTTTTCCTCCTTAGTTTGCCATTTGTTCTCTGCTTCCTTTTCCTCTGTACAACACTGTTCCCACACAAGTGTTGATGCCAGCACCCCCTTACTCCTAATTATGGTTTGCATTTGGGCCACATTCATTCCTTCCTCTCCTGCTCATAGCTATGGGGCTCAGATCTCAGATGAGATCTAGGATGCATATCTTCCTCCTTATTCCCAGGTGTTTGCCTAATTCTCCATTCCTCTCTTAAAACTGTCCACACACAGTCCATCACACACTTGTCCTGAAAGCAGACTGAGCTTTAGCATAGATGCAGTGACTACGTTATCCTGCACAGGGGACAGTGGACTCAACACAGCTAGCCAATGTTCATGGAAGCCTGGATGCACTCCACTCCCATTCACGCTTGTACAGTCTGTCTTTCTTACCTCCCTATTTTAGTATATGTGTTGCCAAAGCGACCACTCTTATCTCCCTAGAGCTATTCTCACCATGGGCATTCACAGTTTCCTTGTTGCCAAAGCCACGAGGCACCTTGTGTTTTCCTGGTGGTGTGTGGCCACTTGCTCCACGATGAAACTCTTTCTCCCAGGGCCCTGGGGTGCCTTGTAGGCCTCTCTGGCTGCATGTGCATGGCCTCCTTTGAAGGCTTCTCCTTTTATTGTCCTTGTCCCTTGAATGCTGGTTCTTCCCAGCCCTGCTGTTTTTCTCTTGGTGGTTCCTCAGCTTAGTTCACTCACATCCATGCCTTTGGTGACCTACCTGTTACAACCAACACCAGTGCCTCGTCTTCTAAACAGATCTCTTTAGGCTTTCAGACCCATTTATCCAACTGCCTGCTAGAAATCACTGCCTGGTTCTCTTGAGAGTATTTCAAACACTAAACCCACCTTCTCCAAACCCCACCTACAACCTTCTCCTGGGCTCCCTGTTACATTCTGTGTACATTGTTGCCTAAGCCAGAATCTCGAGAGCCTCATCTTTGACTCTTCCTCCCTCAAAGACCAAAGCCTATTCATCTAGTCAGGCCTGTTCCATTTAAACTTCCTTAAGAGCTCTAGAGTCAGTCCACTGTCCCTACCCAATCCAGGCCACTCTCATCTCTCACCTGAGTCATTGTGTCAACCATGAAATCATGACCCCCTAACACTTTTAATCTCTTCTTTCTCCATTTTTGTAAGGCACAGTGATTTTTTTAAAAATGCAAAGTCCTTCCCCTACATAACATTTTTCAGGTACATCCTAGTGTCCCCAAAATAAAGATTGAATTTCTTATAATTCCACTGCTACCCCCTGCCCTTGCTTACTCCTCCCACTGCCATTCCTACCACTCTTTCACCCACATAAATGCTGTGATGCCCATCCAGACCCCAGGATGTGATATGCACACTGCCTGGATCATACTTCCAGCCCCACACCACTTTCCTGTAATTCCTCACACTTCCTTCCCTATAATTCTGTTTTGTTTTGTTTTTTTCTGCTAGTGGCACCCAGACTAATTGCTTTTTCTGAGGTTCCTTGGTGAAATCCAACAAACATTTGAAAATCTATTATATGGACTACCCAATTCCAGGGGTATCTAGAAAATACTATACATGCACAGGCCTGTGCATACACATATACATGTGTATACCTTGAAATCAGACACATATAGAAGGACTTTTTCAACTTTAAATATTGTTGATATTTATCCCACACCTATGCTCATTTTTTTCCTCCAAAATAAAATATGGAATCAAAAACATCAAATCTCACTGTGTTCCTCTCATCCCATTCTACGCAGAGCAAAAAAGTAGATGGAATTAGATAAGACAGAAAAATAAGAAAATTGAATGGAAAATACAAATGGAATTATCCATTTCAGTGTGATATAAAAGAAAAAAGCATAGAGCTGAAAGTCAAGAGACCTGGGTTCTATTTCTAATGATTATACAAATTTTTGTTGTAACCTTGGGTGAATTGCTCGATCTCCCTGGACCCCAGTTGTGTCATCTTCTGATGAGAGATTGACTCTCCAAGGTCCTTCTGATCGTCTATGCAAGTGGGTCCTGGTCCAGAGCTTCCACAAGTCTGATTGGAGAGGCCATAGAGAACAGAAAGGTGCCAGGAGTGAATCTAATACCACTTTAACTACTTTCTAGTAAAAATGGAAAGATTTAATAATTTCTATTGTATCTTGACCTGTGAACAGAACTTATAAACAAAAGCTAAAATTTCATCTTGGGACAAATGAAATGGTGAAAAATTACTGTAGCTATTTAAGTTATAAACCTCAGTTTTAATATTTGTGTGTACTTTTTAGCTTTTGAAATTTGTTCCTGAAAAAAGTGACATTGACCTGTTGGAAGAACATAAACACGAGCTGGATCGGATGGCCAAGGCTGATAGATTCCTTTTTGAGATGAGCCGGTAGGTTTGAAGATGTTTCAGATGTAAAGATACCCTTACCTTTACAAGTGTTGTGAATTATAATTTTTGATTCATGTTAAATTGTCTGGGCCAGTTAACCTGGCTTAACTTGGTCTTCTCAAGTCTGAGTTATGTGGAATTTGATTGTATTTCTTCAAGTGAGTTCTTACTGGTGGAGGAGCCAGGATCTGAGTGTCTTCACAGCCATTTTTATTTCTGGGCCTCTTGGGCTCATGTGCTTTGGCCTAATCAAGTCAGACCTTTTCTTGGTTCCGGTCAGTGCCATTTTCCTAACCACTTTGATTTCTTGGGATACTATCTCACACTGCCTGGTAGCTCAGCATCTCAAGGTGGTTGTAAAATGGAAGGAAAAAAAATACGGTCAGACTTTGGCAATGTCAGCACAAGCCCACACTACTGAAGAGCCAGGGTCTGGACGGCAAACTGTGACATGTGCAGACATCAGTAATCAATCGAGGCACTCTTCCCACGCAGCCTTGGCAGGCTGGCTGGACCCTCCTCCAGAAAGCCCGAGGCAGCCGCTGCTTCGTAATTGGGTTTGGCATGTGAGCGAGTCTCTCTGCCAGCCCAGGCCTATCAGACTCACTCCGCGTTAGAGAAGGGCCAGTGGTCCCAAAGCTCAGGACAGAGCTCTTCCCTGAGGGAGCAGAAAGGGTAAGAGAGGTTTGGGGACAGAAGTGAGGAGAGGACAGTATGGTAACAGGACTCTGGAGACCAGTTTTTACTTCAGAAGGTAAAAGTGGAAAGTGAAGAAACTTGGGGGAAGCATAGGAAACTATCACTCGTTTGCAGTAGGATGTGGAGTCTTTCCATTTTCACTCCCTTTTGTCTCTTCTGTGTTCAAAAGAGCTTCCGGGACTCTGAGGGAGGGGTGGCACCTTTAGCCAGCAGCAGCCAGCTCCCACTTTCTGTTAGCAGTTGCCTTATTTGATTGGAGCTAAGGACTGTACTACAGTTGCCCAGAGACCCACTGTGGGGCAGACCGAAATGGGCTCTTCAGGCAGAGTTGGCCACGTGCCCTGTGTTCCCGTCGGGTGAGAACTGTTGTGTGCATGTGTGTTGCGGAGGCACTCCAAGGTACCTGCGCCTCCGTGGCTAGTAAGTGAACATAGACATATTAAGTGAGTGTTAATCAGTCCATGCTTGCTCTTACAGAATTAATCATTATCAGCAAAGATTGCAATCGCTGTACTTCAAAAAGAAGTTTGCAGAGCGCGTGGCGGAAGTGAAACCTAAAGTGGAAGGTAAAGTCAAGCCGCCTAGATTGGAAATGATTTTTGTCATTAGTACCCATTTACAAGTGCAATCCAAGTGCACACAGTAAACAGGATCCCTTTGGAGATTTGCTTGAAATCCTTTGAAATTCTGTTGGATAGTTACTTAAGGTCGGCACTTGGTGCGCTGGCCTGGCCTGGCCTGGGCTCTGGGCTCACAGCACACTTCATGGGTTCCCCTGCAGAGCTGGACTTTAACGACATGGGTGTTGGCAAGAAATTAATTTGTCTGCTACTAGCATCAGACCTGTAATTAGCTTTCGTACAACAGGGCCTTAGTAGATTTTTTTCAAGGGAAGAGTTGAGGCTGTTATGTTTCTAAATGTTGGGCATGGAGAGCACAGCCACAGGCCACAGGCTGGAATCAGGAGTGTGCTTGAGCACCGGGCCCTGTTGTGCCACCTGCGAGCTGTACCATGTAACAAATCTGACCAGTTTTCTGTCAGTGGAATCGATCAGTAATCCTGTTGATCTGACTCACACCAGGCAAGTAAGTGTCTACAAAGAAAGGCTGGAAATGGAGTCGCTATTTTATGTACTCCTCAACGTCGGAGGCTGGCAGGTTAGCCAAGGAAAGGCCTAAGAAAGGGCAGGACTTCGCGCCTCTCTGTGGGTGTCGTGAACAGCTTTATCTGCTTCCTCTCCTCTCGCTTCTGGTTTAGGCGTTTTGAAAGTGCTCCCTGGTAGTCTAACAATCCAGTGTTACATCTTCAATGTCTGTTACTAGGTATGTGGATTTAGGGTGGGTATCATTGAAAAGTCTTGGTTGTAATACTTGTGTTTTTATGTGTTTTGTTTTGAAGCAATTCGTTCTGGCTCAGAAGAGGTGTTTAGGAGCAGTTCCCTCAAGCAGTTGCTAGAGGTGGTTTTGGCATTTGGAAATTATATGAATAAAGGCCAAAGAGGAAATGCGTATGGATTCAAGATCTCCAGCCTAAATAAGATAGCTGACACAAAATCCAGTATTGATAAGTAAGTATGGGGGGGATCCAGGCACTTAGGTCAGGACTCAGATTTGTGCCCCTCTGGTCCTCCCTGGCCTCCGTGACACTGCAGTCTTCACTCTGAACTCCTTTCTCACTTCTCTCTTCCCTTGTCTGACATTGACTCTTCCCTAATACTCCCCCAAGTTCCTGCCGGACCAATTGTCCATCATCCATCTTCTGTCCACAGGGACATCATCTATTCCAAGGGTTTTGTTTTTTACTCCTGCCTTTTAAAAGAAAAAACCATTTTTTTTTTTTTTTGGTAAATCTTTTATTATAATCTACTCAAAATAGGTCAGTAATCATAAATGTAGGGCTTGATGAATTTCCATAAATTGAACACACCTGAATGAATTAAAAGCACCCAGATCAAGAAACAGAATATTACCAGCCCTCTGGAAGTCTCCTCACAAACCCTCTCAGCCATTCCTCCTCTCCAGAAAACTGTGTCCCAGAGAAAAGAAAAAAACTGATAGTCAGTGCTGGAATGTGAAACTTACTGGGTTTTTAGGTTATGTTTTCCTTTATATGTTGCAGCCAGCAGCTATAGCAAAAAATACTATGATGTATAAATAAATGCATTTTGGCTCTTAGTATTCAGCTGCTCATCCCACAACTCATTAAAATGCTTCCTAGAAAGTGTACAACTCTGCATTTTAGGTGAACAGTTTCTCATTAGAGACACCGAGATGTGAAAACACTCTTGTTTCATTAACAGGTAGGGTCATTAGGCATATTAACTCTAGTTTCCCTGAGATCTGTGTTTCTGTGAGGTTCTCACTGACTTCAAAGGGATTTGCACAATTGATTCTAAGGTATAGGCTTCTCTGTACCCAGATTCCTTTTAGAAATGTGGGCTGTTCGCCCTAGTAATTGCTAACTAAGGTTTTTTACCCTGTATCTTCTATAGGTTTCATGAAGCATAGGATTCTGGCAACCCTGAATTCATCTTAGAAGAAATAAGCAATGTGTTAATTTGTTATTTTTGCATCATGTAGATATAGATTAATGAAGAGCAGCTATTGTGTTATAGCTCTGCCACCTTATTTTTAATGTAAGCACTTGATCATTTTCAGAACACTTTCACATTTGATTGTCACAACAGCCTGTGAAGTACACAGTCAAATGCTATTATCACCTGTTGTCAGATAAACTGAGACAGGGTCAAGTGGCTCATTTAGCTTGCCTGAGGTTATAACAAGCAAGATATTTGGCCTTATAGGTATTTGATACCTGTTCTCTTGGTCTGTACACAGCTCTACTCTTAACCTACAGATGGATCTGCTTTGGAGGTTGTAGTAGGGAACTCTTAGGGCACTGGCAGATCTTATTTACATATAAAAGCAGCCACTTTTTAAAGGAAGGTGTTTTGCATACACATACCCACACAAACACATATTAAAGTGAATCACTAGTCCTCTGGCACTTACTATGTGATTATCTGCTTATTTATTGAGGTTACTATAGAATTTATATAACGTACAGGCCTTTTCAGAAGAATGAATTAAAAGTATTTCTGATCTTTCTTTTTCCTCTTTTTTCTGCCTTTAATATTATATTTGGTTCTCAGATGTAACACCCATGTCTTGCAAACCAAGCAGTATGCCTTGCCAGTAAGCAGTCACTCATTCAGTGTCGTTCGACTGCATCTAAATCAGACAGCATAACAGGCAGGACAGTCAGCGTGAAGGGAATATTCACTCAACGTAGAAGGCTCAGTTACTGTAACAACCAGGGAACAATCAGATGGCTATTTAGTTTGTTCATTCTTCAAGAATTTGTGTTTACTCAAATGAGGTATCATTTGGATAGCAAACAAATGGGGAAGATCTGATCTTGTTTTGAGCCTTTCTAATTCATTCTTCTGAAAAGCCTTGTACATTATATAAATTCTGTAGTAACCTCAGAAGCATATATGATTAAGTAAATTAATTGAAATGTCTCTAAATAACAAAGCATTTCTCTAACATAAGGGAAAAAATAGCATTACCGTTGCTTGTGATGGTAGCTAGCATTTTGCTCCCTCTCCTGTCATCTTAGGTGAGAGGGACATGGGCAGACAGGTAGATTCTGTGAAGAGCAAAACTGAAATGGAAGGATGCAGCCAAACACCTGAACAATAAGTCATTAGAATTATTGGCCACTGTTTCGTACTGAGGGGCCATTGTCTTCTAATTATAAAGAGCAAGAAAAATGAAGGAAATGTTTTTAAAAATGTGAGTCAGGTAACTGAGGAATAGGATTGCGCTGTCTCTGTGAAACCACAATGGTAACTAGAAATGGTTTTCACTGTGATGGAAAAGAAAATTGTTTGAGAACTCTTATTTTTGGTTAGAGGTGGGTGGGAGTGTTATGATTTAGCATTTTGAATTAGCATACTGCCTAAATCATGAAAATGTCTTAAAGAAATGCATTTGTATCTTCCTGATTATGATAAATTGAATAGATTTGTAGTTCTTGATCCTGGCTGCATGTTAGAGTCACCAGGGAGTTTTTAAAAAATGCCCACGCCTGGCTCCACCTCATTCCGATTAAATGAATCTCTGGGGTTGGCCCAGGCATCTGGAGTCCAGGTGATTGTAATGTGCAGTGCAGTCGGTAACAGTGGGACCAGACTAACACAGCTTTGCCTGATAGATACTGTTATCAGACGCCGCCTTTCCAGTCCAGGTCAGGCAGAGTTCAGCCCTGTCACCACCGCACAGGGAGCTGGCACGGCCAACGGTTATAACTGCTACGGCTTATGCAGTTAGGAGCTGAAGTGTTGCTAAATTAGGAAGTGGATTCACAGCTGCAAAGATATCACATGATGACAGTTATGGCCCACTTCCAGGTTCTGCCCTGAAATAGGGGGCTTTCTAACTTTCCGACCACCCTTTGGACAAAACCTTAAATAAAAATGATCAATAACTGTCATCAGCGAGTTTGCTACTCTATACTTTTAGACTTGAAAATAGGTGCCCTCTCCAGTGCAGTAAACATCCCTCACTCCACCCAGTCCGACTTGTCATGAACCTGCAGGGCGCACCCCATTTGGGGTAGATCCCTGCGAAGGTAAACTTGAGCTTGTCCCCATTGGCAGTGGTGCAGTAGTGCACTTTAATCACCTATCACGTTACCCAGATTCTGAAGGATGGATGCTCATTGTGGGCCAGAAATGTGATTCCTACCCCTGTTTTAGGAACTATATGCTTCCTTTTGACATATGTTTATGTAAATCTGATGCAGGCTCTCCTGTTATCCCCTTCTCTTGAAAATCTCTGCCTTAAAGGAACCTCCCAATTTCAAAGTTAATGCAGGAATATAGCATCACTATGGGTTCTACCACTTGAGCTGTAAATCCCGTGTAGATATTAACCATGTTTAATACTCTTCTCTTCTTTGATTGTAGGAACATTACCCTTTTGCACTATCTCATAACTATTGTGGAAAATAAATGCCCCAATGTTCTCAATCTGAATGAAGAATTGCGAGATATTCCTCAAGCCGCAAAAGTAAAGTAAGTACTTATAGTGACTCGTTTTAGTTTTTTAAATCATGTGGACTGTGCACTTAGCCATTGAGATAGTTAGTTAGCATTGCATGAAGTGGGCCCTTCTGTTTGTTTTCCCCTGAACATCAGATGAAGTAAAGTTTGACTCATATCCAAAAGTCACTCAAATGTGTTACAAGGTTTTGAATATACATTTGTTCTAACTCCTTTGGAATACTGCTGCATGCAATTTTTAACTTTCATAAAACCTAATTTTCTGAGTTACTAAGAGTATAGGAAAGGAATGTGGGTTTCACAAGTACTTTTAAAAGGCGGTTCTTTTAAATACAGGTCAGAGCGCCTTTAGTTAAATAAAGATACATGGTCAAGCAAATAGAAGACCTAAATGTAAGGGTGTTGCTAATAATTTTCACATATGCACACACTACCAGAAACCAAGGCAACCCTTTAATGGGAAGCAGTCTTTATGCAAATTGAAAAGCTAAAAATAAAATGGAAAGTTGCCAAACTTTTCCCACAAACTTCACACCACGTTTCAGAAACTAGGAGCAGGCAATTTTCCCTGCAATTCTTCCCTTCCTCTTTTGGCTCTCTCTTTTTTTAAAACTTAAACTGCATCTTTTTACAGTCAATTTGAAAAGTATAATGAGCAGGCTAATTTTTTCCTTCTGTTTGTGGAATTTGGTAGAAATATACTATGTAAGGCATGAAATTAAAATATTAAAATAAATGAAGTCTTGGAGAGTTTCCTTGTATGTTGTGAATTATCTGTGAGAATTAAATTTTAATCTCTAATGTTTAGCCATGAAATAGAAAGCATTGTACATGAGAGATGCCCAGGAATCTTTCTCTGTTTAAAAAAAAAAAAAAAAAAACGAAAACAAAACTATTTAATACAACTTTAAGAAAAATCATTGTTGATTAAAATTTAAACTGTTACCTTATAATATATTACCATAGCCTTAGTGAAAAGCAATACGACAATTATGAAGAGCACAATGTGAACATGATTGTGGATAAACCAGTTTCTTTTACTTTTTCAAAGGGAGCCAAGTATGGCAAGAACTTGATTTCTACAGAGAGTAATTTGTTGAAGTGAGATTTTTGTGAGATTAAAATATAAAATATTTTTATACAAATGGGAGATGTTTCTAGTCTGCTATTTTTAACCTATACCTGCTGGCTATGGAAAACAAGGAACATAATTTTATACCTAACTTCCATAAGTTTAAAATGCTGTTGTCTTTCTGTGAGATCTGAATATGGAAGGGAATCTTAACCATTTAAAATAAACTAGTATGGACTTCCAAGCATGAAATATTTAAACCCACATTATATTTAATCCATATTATATTTAATCCAAAGTCACATATTGATTACTAAAATGTTGCTATTTACAACAGCATGACTGAGCTGGACAAAGAAATAAGTACCTTGAGAAGTGGCTTGAAAGCAGTAGAGACAGTGAGTATTTGTTTCTTGTTCTAATTCCCAGTCCCTTCACAATCTCTAATGCTGGTGATTCCCAGCGATGAGTTGCTGGTTGCCTTGATATATATTATGCCAAGGATAGACATTTATTGATTTAAAAAAGACAACCACCACCACTAAGAAGAAAAGGCTGGCTGCGTTTAGTCTGGTGACTTGAGTGGAGGCCCCAGGTGTCGTGTGTGGGTCACTGCTGCATGAGCTGGAAACAGGACCTAGAGTGTCACCCATTCACCTGTGAGGCAGGACTCTTTAAAATAAGTGGATTGGGTTAGATGATCTTCAAGGACCTGCCCAGCTTCCATGTTTTCTTAACACTTGATGTTCACTTGCAGTAGAGCAATAGAACTTCTGTGCTGTTTTTGAAGTCAGTCCTTTGTGGTGTATTTACTGAGCAGACACTTGAGGGTACAGTCTGTGCTCTAGGCAAGGGGTCACTGTGGCTCAGAATCCCTGCCCTCCAGGTGTTGCAATAGTCAGAGCTGCAGTTCCTTCTGCCTGGCCACATCCAGATAAGCACAGTGCCTACAAGGGGGCCTGGAGGAAGAGGAGTAGATTAAGGGTAGTCTGGAGGCTTATGGAACGATTGGCATATACTGGAGGAAGCTTCTCTTCTGGAAAAGAAGAACTTTGAGCTATGGTTTAGGATGGGGAGTGGGGTAAACCTAGGTGCCTAGGAGGCAGGCTGTCCCAGGCATGCAGGACAACCTGGGCCCAGGCCTCAGAGGAAGGAAGAGGGTCAGGCTGCCAGGGGCAGGGAGGAGTCAGTGGGACGGAATGTGACTGTTGGCACAGTGCCATGGGAGTACCACACAGGTGCTGCTGCCGGCAAGAAGGGGGTCGGGGATGGGAACCAGCTAGCAGAGCGGCAGCCTTATTCAGGAGAGCAGGCCTGGCTTGGGTCTGCACTCGGCAAAGTAGACTGATTCGCAGGCAGCTTGGAGAGGTGCCTCTCATGAGTGTCTTTCACATCGTTTATCAATAATGCCATGAGGACTCTCCCTTCTTTTCTTTTTTTAATCACAAAACTAAGCCATAGAAAGTGGTTGAAATTCATTAAGGATATACTTCTAGTAAAAATTAAAGTCACAATGTCTAATTTTTTCTAATTGTTTTAATAAATTAAGGAGCATGTGAGGGTTATTTTATTTTGTTTTGTTTGAGGGGACAGTTTAAAAAAAAAGGAGATGAACAAATTGAGTGGACACTTTTTCTTCCAGCCCCAGTGGGCCTATGGCCGTTATGGTGGCCTAAAGCCTGATAATAGTTGCTCTGACCCCTCCATCTGAGCCAGTTCAGAGCAAGGCCTGGGGTGGGGGATGGAAGGTTCCAAGGGAGTTTTGTGTTTGTTTATTAAAAGGATAGTTTTGCTGAACTCGTTCCATCCTTTGGGTCATATACACTCCATCACACTCTTCATAGGAAAGGGGCTACAAAAGCCTCCCCCTGCCCCTGACAGCTAAATGTCAAGAGGTAGCATTGTAAGAAACAGTAGGAGGCAGAGCTTGGCCTGTTCAAATATTCATGTGTCCTAATTGTGCCTTGCATAAATTGATTCTATTGTTTAAAGGTATTGGAACTGGAATTCTTATGAAATTATACACGAATGAAACACTGTAAAATCCCTTTCTCATCCCCACACCAAATACACACATATACTCACTTTCTACGCCCAAGTACTAGAATCATGGCAATTTCTTCCCATCAGAGCCAGCTTCATAATTTGTAATATGAGAGTCTTCACTTCTGTTATTTCATTTGAGTCTCCTCATATGTGACTATTGCCCTCCTTTTAAAAGTGAAGAAACAGGTCCAGAACAACTTGCCATGGATAAGCAGCAAACCAGTGTAAGAGTTGAGTCAGAACTCATGGCCTGTGAACCCTACACCCCTGCTTGCTAATATCTCTCCAAAGCAGGTGCAGAAGAAAATAAGGGCAATCCAGTTTGAGTCAGTTGGTACACAGCATGGTTGTTACTAACACTCTGGAGTCAGGGACCTGAGTTCAAATTCAGGCCCTGTTACAGATGCCAGACTGTCCAAATACTTTGGACAAAGAATTTAATTTTTCTAAACCACAATTTATATGTCTGCTCATGGAGGTAATGGTGCCTCACAGAGGTGTTGTGGGAATCAAATAAGAATGTGCATCTGGCAGTGGTTAAAATTAATTATTGAAATTGTATTTGAACCATCTGTGTGTTCATCACTGTGGTGATGGAGAATACGGATAAATAACAAGAGGCTGATTCTCCTACCTCCTGTTCACAAAAACTGAATGGTATGGGTAAGATGAAAAATGGTAGATAATTACAGCGGCAAAAGCTACAGGTGAAATTCTACTGACCCAGATCCCATGGTTTAGGAAGTAAATATAGACTGGGCAGAAAGGGAAAGGAGGAAAAATCAAGGCACCACAATTATCATAGAATATCACAATATTCTATTAGCATAGAATATCACAAAATCACAATTAGCATAGAAAAAGTTTCTTGTTTTCACTCACAAACCTTTTGAATCCAGTTTGCTCCCATTATTTAACTTCTATTAATTTTATCCAAATGCAAACTGTTTCCTTCCTAAAGCCAGAATGAGAAACTACATTGATAAAGTACAGATGGTTGGTTAAATTGCTGTTTGCGAATATGCATGTGCACATGCGCATGGCTATCATCATGGTGAGAGGAAGGGCCGGGGTTGGGGGGCGGCTAGAGTATCACAAAACGTTTAGAACAAGTCTTGATATGTCTGCCATTCTGATTTATTAAATTTGAGGCGTACGGAATATGAGACAAGGTGTGTCTGTATTTGAAACCTATGTTGACGTTATTCATTTCCTGTGTTTAAGGAGCTGGAATATCAGAAGTCTCAGCCCCCACAGCCCGGAGATAAGTTTGTGTCCGTTGTCAGCCAGTTCATCACAGTAGCCAGCTTCAGCTTCTCTGATGTTGAAGATCTTCTAGCAGAAGCCAAAGACCTGGTAAATTTCCCCCTTGCACACTGAGTGTTGTTTGACGGGGCTGGGCTTCAATTCAGTACTTTCAGATATTAATTACACTGTACAGGAAGCAGCAGGAATGAGATCCAAACATCATGGCACAGGAAATGAAGTAGTAGATGATTGTTTTCCAGATTCCATTGTTTTGTATATCATAGGTATATTTTCATTTCCCTGACTGTGATTAGTTGAAATACATTTTTGTCTAACCTGCTTGTGGTGCCTTTAGACCTTTAAGGCTCTCATAGTATAAGAGCAGAATATAGTTCAGGATCGAAGTACTTATCTCTGGGAACCAGAAAAGAGTAGACGATGAAAACTAGGGCAGAATGGAAATGTACCTTAGGAGAACAGGGCACTACCTATTAAAATCTCCAGCAGAACTTATTAAAGGAGCTGCATTTTAATTCACAGTCTCATTACAAGAAGTATAATTTTTTTTGTTGGACATTTCATTCTGTGATTTTTGCTATTTTCAAAATTTTTGTTTCCCATAGAGGAAAATTTTGTTGAGTAATAACCAAGACCTTTAACTCCTCACCCCCGCCTGCCTTCTCTTTATCTCAGGTTGTTTCCTCTTCCCAAATGCACACACATTCATGTACAAATGCATGCACACATTCTCTCATTTTCTCTGCATGTATCTCATGTGCCACAACACTCTTGTTTTCACTTGAATCTTGAGTAAATGGCTATCATTTTTCTGTGGTCACCTATCAATTATAGGTATGGATGATTGTTTATATAACTGTACACATATACCTAACTGTGCAGAAGTAGACTGTATTGACCTATATCAGCTAATCTTAGCGTTAAACTTCCTCTCCAACCTTATCAAATAAAGGAGAAGAATATATATATGTATACATATATATGTATGTATATGAATGACTGCTATTAGGGGTCCAAACTCTGATCCTGCGATGGAAATCAGTCAACTGATGTCAGAAACCGTGGCTCAAACGTCCACTGTGAAAGCCTCCACCGTATTTTATGTATGCCTCACCACTTTGGAGTATGTGCTTTGTAAAGGACGAGGTGCCCCCTGCCCCGTTATCTTAACTGAGCAATACACTACCTACTTTATCAAGGGGCCCAAACATTTTTATAAGAAGCAACTAGATAGTTGTTTTTTTTATTTAAACACACACAAAAAACCAAAACCTACTTCGTTTTTTGTTTTTTTTTTTTTTTTTTTTTAGTGTGGGAACTTTAATCTGAGCCCAGTTTTCTTTAGATTTTTAAGACTAAAATATACATGACTTCATCATCACCAGAATTCCTAGATAAAAAGATCATTCAGGATGGCTAGAAGTACACGAACTTGAATGTTTTAGAAGCTTAGTTATTAAATGTCTATTGCTATTTTGTTCATACCAAAACTTTTAGAAATTAGCTTACAAAACCCTGAAAAAAGCTAGAACACTATATGTGGTGTGTGAAGAATGCTATATTTTTCCCCAAAGAGCTCTGTTTTCTGATAGAATATTTCCAAATAAGTAAAACATTGAGAACAACTCGATGAAGAGAGAAATTGTAAAAAGAACATTTTTATTATAAATTTAAAGATATGAAATAATAATTATAAAATGTCATATAAATATATATTAGTCAAAATTTATTTTATTTAAAATAAATATTTAAAACATTTTCCTTAAGATATAATAGATAATGTTACTGAAATACCAGAAGAACTTAACAATATAATAAAGGCAAGTGAAGTAAGAAAAATAAAATCAACTAGAAACTGTTGGTTTTGGGGGACTGCATAAATACATCATGGTCTAGACATGAACAAAATTTAAAATCTGGAAAATGTTAACTAGTTGATTGAGCATAGCAAAGTAATTCATTGACTCTGTAGCCAAGAACACTATCCTTGTAGCCTAGAAGTGGCAGCATTATATCCTTGCAAAAGAAGTATAACTTTAACAAACTGACTGGCATTGAAGATTATTTGGGTAGTTATAATAATGCTAAGATTATTGAAAGCATACTGTCTAGAGTTAAGAAAATAACTTCTGGAAGAATTAAAAACAGAAACAGTTAAAAGTAAAAAGAGACAGAATATACTATTATTATTGTATACATATATTTTTATTTAATTTTTTAAAACTCTCCCTTAATATTTTGCATTTTGGCTGTTTAAAAAGATTGGCATTGAAAAAATGTTCTAAAACAAAAGGTTTGGAATAAAATTGTATTCTCAGTCATACATTTTGAGTTGCATTAAGGATCCGCTAACCACTTAGTTTTCTAATTGAGTCCCAGGAAGTAGCCTAACAATACCAGCATTATCTATGATTAGGAAAAACAGCTAAGAAATGCTGGCTCCCATTTGCTTTCGATATTAACCATATGGCACCAATAAATGATATTAAACTACTTCAAAGAAAAGTTAAAAGTAGAAGTTTCCTTACCCCTGCTGAGCTTCCTATTAATTTTATGTTTTGGGTGCTCGGTCTTATAATATTTTGCTTTCTTGTTTTTACTACTGTTTTAGTTAATAAAAAGCCATAGAAAGTCATCATAGATGTTAAGCGTAAATGAGATAAAAAGGAATAAATGGTTTCAAAAGTTGAGGAGTATTACAATTTTTACTTTGGAAATGATTAGTAGACATGTTCAGCAGCTGAAGATAAATACAGGCTCACTAAAGTCCATCAAGTTATATTGACTCAGCTACTTAAGAGGGTGAGAGGCAAGAAGATCGCTTGAGCCCAGGATTTCAAGGCTGTAGTGCACCGTGATCGCCCCTGTGAAGCAGCCACTGCACTCCAGCCTGGGAAACATAGTGAGACCCATCTCTTAAAGAGAAAAAAAAGCTGACTTAATTTGAGCTTTATTCTTGTAAAGTGATTTATATTGAATTATGGAATTCTCTTGGAATACTGAACTTCTTAAAACCTTCTGTCTTCCAGTTTACTAAAGCAGTGAAGCATTTTGGGGAAGAAGCTGGCAAAATGCAGCCGGATGAGTTCTTTGGCATTTTTGATCAGTTTCTTCAAGCTGTGTCAGAAGCCAAACAAGAGAATGAAAACATGAGGAGGAGGAAGGAAGAAGAAGAGCGTCGAGCTCGCATGGAAGCTCAGGTAAGAGTATGACTAACTGGCTAGTTCCTCCTCCAGGAGGTTCTACGGCTACAGCCCAGCCCAGGGTTTGTAGACCTTGCCAGCACTGTGATGTGATGTGCTGGCAAGGAGGAAGGCGGGAGTGTACTCTCCAGAATGCTGCCGGGAGTTTAAAGTAGTAGCAAGTTCCCTTTGGCCAGTTTGACAGTATACATCCAAAGCCTTTAAAAATGTATCCACATCCTTTAATCTGGAATTCCATTTCTTAGAAATTATTTTAAAGAAAGAATCATAAATTTGTACAAAGAGGGCAACATTCTTTATAATAGCCCCAAGCTGGACACAGCCTAAATGTTTACCAATAGGGCATTAGTTCTAAATGATGTAACAGCTACATAATGGAATATTTATGTAGTCCTTAAAAGACATACCTTCAAAGAATATTTAATGAGGGGGGAGGGGGCGGGTATATACATATATAATGAGTGAGATGTGCACCATCTGGGGGATGGTCATGCTGGAGACTCAGACTTGGGGGGGATGCGCATTTATTGAAACCTTAAAATCTGTACCCACATAATATGCCGAAATAAAAAAAAAAAAAGAATATTTAATGATATGTAAGAAAGCTTACAAAATGATTTCTACATGAAATCCTTTTTAAATTTATTTTTTTAAATAAGCATAAATATGTATAGAAAATAATAGTGGTGGGATAAACCCCAAAATTTCACAATGGTTATCTCTGGTAGTAGAATTAAAGATGTTTTCTTGCCCCGTTTTTTTTGTCTGAATTATCCAAGTGTTCTGGAATGTGTATGTATTACTTGGCTTTTAAAAACAGTAGCTCTTGTGCAACAAGTTCCGGCATCCACAGTAGACACAAGCTAAGCCATTGATATGAGGAAAGTGGCCTGATGATCATTTGCTTTAGACCCTGTGTACCATAAAGAAAACAATATGAGTCCATGACTTGGAATAGCACTAAAACCGGGGGACAGAGAGTGAACTGACAGCAGTTAAAAAGAAAAATCAAGGGGTTGCAGGCTTACAAGGCTAATAAACAGAAGGAATTTGCTGTTCCATATATGCCAGCAATGAACCAAGAAAATCTAGTGAAACAGCTCCCCAACTTCCCCCAATAAAATAGGGCCAAAGCCCATCCACTCCTGCGTACATACCCACCACCAGCTCCGTCCTCACGGTAACGTCCCTTATATCCGTAATTTTCATGCCTTGACTTCCCTAGGTTATTTACATCTGGATGTAATTCATAACAAAACGCCCCATAAGGTGGTTTTCAATTGTACTATCCTTACTTTACATTCCGACTCTCACACATTACAGACTTCTTCAGCCCAGTTTCCCAAAACCGTCCTGATTAACTTAGATTAATGAGAGCTTATGTCCATTTCTTACACTGGTTACTTAGAAGCCAGAAGGGGAAATAAACAAAATGCAGTCACTAGTGAAGCTTAAGTTATTCTCGGGCAGTTCAGGCTATCAAAGCCTTTGCTTTCCAGTTAAAGACGGTTTTGCAGTCGGCTGTTCTTAGACCTTCCATTCGCCCCTTTCGCCTCCCGCCTTTCCTTCCTTCCCTCCAGCCAGCTTCATTATTACTCACCCAATCAGAAGCCTCATTATTAGGAAATTCTCTTCAAATGCCATTTGCAGGAAACAGTTCTCTCCTATTGCGTTGAATGGGCTATTTGACCCTGAAGAGCAGCAGCTGTTCAGTGACCTGCACGCTTTTATCGCTGGTGCGTCACACATGAAAAATGACTTCCAGACGTCTGCCTAAGGCACTGCCAGGAGAAGGGTCACGCAGGCCCTATGTCACCCGCTCACTGCCAAAGATTAATGCAATGGGGAAGGGACCCTCTTTCACATGATCTGGAGAAGTGACGCTTCTAGAGCAAACTGGCATTGACTTTTCCTCACTAGACTGTGGCAAAGGAAACCCCGACCAGTTCCTGAAACTTTCCGCAGTCACGAAAGTACACACTCCCAAATTCCCATCTGCCTGTTCTGTTCCCTTGCACCAACACCTTAGACAACACGCTAGGACCCAAGAACTCTGAGGTCCAGATTTGTCTTTATTGTCAGACGTGAGCGGGCCACCCCTAGGTCTCCCGAACACCCTCTCTTCCCATTGTGGAGTTGGACAGAGCAGCGTCTTAAGACTTCCCGCTGTAGGATGCTGCAGTCCTGCCTGAGGCTCCAGTCCCTGTGTGCTGAGAATTCACATGCAGCCAACTTGCTAACTAGAATTAAACAAACTTTCCTGACACACTGTTTATCAGCCACAGCCAAGAACCCGGGCTTCTTGCCTAGCTGTTCGGGAGAGGGAATGTGGAAGGGCAATGCTTAGAGCACCTTACATTTCATCAGTAACGAGGCTCATTCCAGGGTTTCCTTTTACTAAGTAACTGTGGTAATGATGATCCTCAGGGCCCCATCTGGGCTGCACCAAACACACATGCATTGATTCATCATGAAATCAATGTCTCTCGTTAACAACGGCTTTCCCTGCAGAGGCCGTTGTGGTGCCCTAGGAAGAGTGTGGTTGGAAAAGGAGGAGAGAACAAAAATCAAACTAAACGGAAGGGCCCACTGCTGTCTTCCCTGGAGGGGGACACAGCTGGCATGTGCTGTTCTCGTGGA